AAAATTAGTGTATGAGCTGGGTGGTAGGGGTGGTGGTGGTGCACGCCTTTAATCCCAACACTTGGGAGGCAGAGGCAGGCGGGTCTTCAGGATGGTCAGAGCTACACAGAGAAACCTTGTCTCAAACCAGCAACAACAAAAAGCTTGGCATTGGCTCAAGGCCTAGTGGCACACATCTGTAAACCCAGCACTTGGGAGGGAGGAGGAGGCTACTCCCTCCTCTCTAAGGAAGAATCCAGTCCTTTGGTTTCCTGTAGGGTCTGGGCCCTGCTGTTCCCATAAGCTCTGCTCAGAGTCCGGTGCATAACAGGCGCTGTGCACAGGGTTCTATCCCGTCAGCTCTTGTCATGAAGCCCTGGCTCCCAGTGTGATGGATTTTGGGCTTGTCGATGGTCATTAGGTTCAGATGAGATCATGAGGGTGGGGCTCCTCTGTCTTACATCAGTCTCCATTACAAACACTATGACCAGGGTGGTTTATATACAACAGGAATTCATTTCACACAGGTTTTGAGACTGGAAGGTACCAGCACTGCTGAATTCTCATAAGGACCCCACTCTGGCTCACAGAATGCTAACTTCTGACCCTAATCTCACAACACCGGGGAGTCTATTTTATGAGGGTTCCACCCTCATGACTTTATCACCTCCTAAGGCCCCATCTCCTAATGTCACCTCAGAGGTTACAATGTCAACATATCTATAGGACGCACAATTCATTGGTGTGGCATAGACATATCACTTACGTGGACCCCTTCTTTTGTAGGAAGCCCCCTTTTTATGTTGCCTGTAATTTCTAGATTCTTTGCTAAAATTCCACATCCTTGGTGGCAAGTTTTAGTTGTTGTTTTATTTTTATTTTTGCACTGAGGTAAAACATTTTTTTTTCTTCTGAAATGGAACTTTGAACTACTTGGTGGTGGGCTCTTGTAGCAGTGAGCCTTCTAGAAGGGTGAGAGAAGAGCTGAGATCGATTAGCAATGCCTGTCCTGTCTGTTGGAGGGGCAGGTGGAGGCACCTGTGCCACCCTGGCTTAAAAGATGTTATCTAATTTTCGTTTGCTTTTGTTGTTGTTGTTCTGGTTTTTTTGAGACAGGAACTTGTGTAGCCTAGGCTGGCATTTAACTCATTATATACCCGAATTCCTGACCTTTTTGCTTCCTGCTCCCAAAAGCTGGTATCATAGGCACAGACCATCATACTCTGCCGAGAAGCTTTTGCCTAGAATGCCATGAAACACGGACAGTGGGTGCCAACAATCACGACTCCTCTAAGCAATACATACGTGTAGCCCCATCCTTAAGGGACACCTAGCTTCTGTGAGTGCCAGTGACAAGAATGGTCGGAGCTAAAAGATGACAAAAGTCCACTGCTCTGTGACCATGAAGCCCTGAATCCTGTGCTCTAGCCCAGATCAGCTCAGCCGTGCTGTCTCCACAAAGGACTCTCAGTGAATTGTTATTTATTTCCACACGCCTAAGTCCAGCACCATGCTCGTTACTTTGGGAGAAAACCAGAAACACTGTGAAGCCCATGTCCAAGGAATTGCTATTTCCTCAGGAACATCACTGGCCATGTAGTGAGCCCAGAACATCAGGACAAGGACAGTTAGACCCCTCAGAGAGGAAGGGGTGGAGGTTTGACCTTGGAAGGCAGCTGTGCACACAACTTCAGAGGAGTCCTGCTAATAGTTCAAGGGCTGTGGGAGGAGGGTTTAGGAGTTAGAAAAGGCCAGGACCATAGCCATGGGGTACAAGAGTCAAGCCAAGCTTCCACACTGCATAGCTAAGAGTGCAGAGGACTGGGACTCAGGTCTGCTATGGGGCCTACAGGGTAAGGAAGGTGCCCTTGGAACAAAAATACATGACCAAGACAACAGGACCCAGATCATTGTGGTAGAGCCAGTAGCTGCCACTCAGGGCTCCAAGTTCCCTCTGCCTCAGGCAAGTACAGTCTGTACTGGGAAGGAGGTTGGAGGTGGCAGGTAGAGGTGAAGAAACAGGTGCATGAAGGTCCCTGAAGCCAATGAATATTGAGATAGGAGCCTAGAAAGGAGGGACAGGGGAGGGTGCACCAGAGACGAACTGCAGAAGCAAGGGCAGGTGTCACAGGCTGCTCTTCCTGCTGTGAGAAGACACTGCCAAGATCAGCGTGGGGAAGAAAGGGTTTGCTTGGTTTACATGTCCCAAACACAGTCCATGGTTGATGGGTCCAGCCAGAACCCAAGGCAGGAGCTGTAGCAAAGGCCATGGAGGAATTCTGCTTATTTGCTTGTTCATCTTGTGTTTTTATACAGCCCAAGACCGCCTGCCTAGGGCTGGTGCTGCCCACAGTGGGCTTAGCCCTTCCATATCAATTAGCAATCAAGAAAATGCCCTAAAGACATTCCCACAGACTAATCTGATGATAATTCCTCGGCTGAGGTCCTCGTCCCTGGTTACTCTAAATTGTGTCAAGTCGACAAAGACCAGTCAACACAAATGACCCCTGGTCAACCTGACACATAAATACATCACTATTAAACCAGAACCTTTAAGGTTTTTTTGTTTCCAAGACCTCATGCAAATATTAAGATAAAAAAAAAAAAAAGTGTGGTCCCACATTCTTTTTCTGATTTTTTTTATTCATTTTACATACCAACCACAGCCCCTCTCTCTCCCCAAAGTTACAAAATCTCTAAAAAATTCTATCACTGCCGGGCGACGGTGGCGCACGCCTTTAATCCCAGCACTCGGGAGGCAGAGGCAGGCGGATCTCTGTGAGTTCAAGACCAGCCTGGTCTACAGAGCTAGTTCCCGGACAGGATCCAAAGCCACAGAGAACCCTGTCTCAAAAAACCAAAAAAAAAAAAAAATCTATCACATAAAAGTTCAATATCTCTTTAAAATAAACTTGAGGCTGGAGAGATGGCTCAGAGGTTAAAAGTACTCGCTGTTCTTATAGAGGACTGTAACGAGCATGGAAACAGATTCCTCTGAATGAATAAATAAAGGGGAATCTGTAGTGTAGATAGAGCAGGAAATTTATAGAATAAGAATGAATGTAACTTGGTGTAATGTAAAAGCATTTCTTCTTGTGTGGGGTATGGAAAATTACTAAGGTGAAATATTGGGAGAGCATTTGCCCGTTTGAAGGCTGCCACACCCATCTGGCCCTGCCAGATGTGGGGGGCTGCACCCAGCAACCGTGGTAACGAAATAATCTTGCCACACAAGAGGTTCCCCCACCCTTCTGTGGCCAGTCGATACTGATAACCTAGGACACCTGGTTATCAGAAGGATCAAACGAGGGGCAATTTTGAACTGGCATAAAAGAGGTGGCTGAAGCAGGGCGGTTATCTCACTTCTCACAATGGGCTCTGGCACCAGGCCTCCGTGGAAAGAGAGATCCTCCTAGCCTGCCTCCCGAAAAGCAGCAATACTGAATGCCTTGCCTAAACATTTAATGCTCTGTCTCCCGAGCACAGAGCTTTGTCTCCCGAAAGCAGACATTTAACACCTTGCATCCCGAATGCAAATCCTCATTCCATGAGAGTGGACATTGAAGGTCTGTCTCCCGAGAACAGACTAGATACTCTGCCTTTCAGAATGCTTTGCCATCCAGAAAGCAAAGCTTCGTCTTTTGAGCAGACAGAACGCTTTGCCATCCCGAGAGCAAAGCTTCATCTTCGAGAGTAGAGAACTAAAAGCCTTGTCTCCCGAGACTCGGTCACCCAAAAGCCGAGTCCAAGGCACTACCAGATACCAGCCTGGAACATCAGGACCTTATCTCCCGAGTGCAGACTACGGGGTCAAGAGTCGATCTTCGCTACCCAGCCCCCAGTGCGGACAAGAGCCCAGCCTGAAGAAATTCAAAAAAGCCCTTTTTAAGCCAGGGAATACCAGGTCGTATGATGCTATTTCATGTGTGTATAAGATGTTAAGAGAAGAGCATAGAAGTGTTAATACATATGTTAATGTGTGAAATGTTAAGAGATATTTTATGGATAATTGATCAGAGTAGGAAATAATGGATAAGCTAAGGTTAAGGAGTGTTTTATAGATAATTAATGGATAAGTTGTATTAAGGTTATAGATAATTAATGGATAAGTTGTATTAAGGTTATAGATAAGTAACGGCTGAGTTGTATTAAGGTTAAGATAAGTTAGATTAAGGTTATAAATTGGTTTTATGTATTAGGTTTAGTAGGATTAATAATTGTGATATTGAATTGCCTGTGTGTTGCCCATTATCAATCCCCCATGCCTACTGAGATTGTAACCCCCATTGATGCATTGGATATTGAAGTTGCTAGTAAAGAATCATCATAAAATCAATTCTCTTGCTTGGTCTGGTTACTCATCACTCTCTGGGGAGAAGGGCACAGAATCCTCATAGATATTACTCGAAAAGAACCTGGAGCTGAAGTCCCCCAGCTCGTAACAAGGACCCAGGTTCCCAGCATCCACAGCTGTCTCTAACTCCAGTTACAGAGGATCTGACACCCTCTTCTGACCTCTGAGGGCACCAGACACATTCATAGTACACATAATACATGCACATAAACACTGGTACACGTAAGATAAAAATAAATTATTTTAAACACAACCAAAGTCAAAGCCAGTAAAATGGCTCCATGGGTAAAGAGCTTGGCATGTAGGCCTGATGACCTGAGTTCAATCCCTGGAACACACATAAAGGTGAAAGGAGAAAACAGACTGCACAAGGTTGTCTGTTGGTAGGCATACACATGTGCACGCAGACACACACACACAGACACACACACACTGTAGTAAATATGTGTGCCCACAAACATACACCTTACACACAAATGCAATAAAAATAAATAAATTTAAATATTCTAAGTCTCTTAACTGCAGATTCCTATAAAATCCAAATAAATTATATACTTTCTTGTTCCAAAAGGAAGAACCAGGGCACAATCACAACCATATCAAACTCAACAGTTTGCAAAGCTCTGGGACTCACTCATGATCTTCTGGGCTCCAAAGGGTTTGAGGATCCCATTTTCCCAGCTCCGCCATTTCTAACACGCACAGCTAGTCTCATAGACTCAGGCCAGCTCCACTCCATCCCTACTGCTGTCCTGGGTGGTCATCCCACAGTCCTGGCATCTCCCATATGCTGGGGTCTTCACCACAACTGAGGCCACACCTATGCCGGTGTCCTCTCCTGGAATCTTCAGGAGCCCTGACCCTGGCACGTGGTGCTGTGCCTCAGCTTCTCTCCATGACCCCTGCAGTCCTAGAGCTGCCGTTGTAACTGAGAGCACCTTCACCAATGGTCCCTCCCAGGTCTACACCATGCTGAGCCTCAGGGACTCCTTGCTGTTCTCCATGACCCCTTCAGGCCTTCAATACCAGTATGACGTGCCAGTCTCTTTCACGTTGCCATATTCTGCTGCCAGCTTGATGCACGGCCTTGACGTGCCAGCAGGCTACCCTTTCTGTATGCTGATCTTGAGGAAATGCTTCCCAGAAGATTTTTGCCTCAGTAATTCTGGGTTCATGTCAATCACAGCTGATTTTTCATGCCAGCTCACCAGCATTGATTGTCCCGATAAACTAAAGGTTTCACTTCCATGGACTCAAAATTTTATACAAGTAGCCTTGCTAGTCTTTGAGGGGCTCTGAAGCTTCGTAAGCCAGGTCTCCATCATCTGCATTTTTCTCAGGATTCTTGTCTTCCAAGTTCCCACAGAACAGCCCATTAAGTTTTAAGCACTCAAAAAATGTTTCCAAAGTCCCAAGGGCATCCACAATCCTCTCCAAAACCCATAAAACTCTTCTCTCCGGTACCAATCTCTTGAGTTTCCTTTCTCCGCTGTGATAAAACTGACCAAAACCAGCTCAGGAGGAAAGAATTTATTTGATTTACATATCTCAAGCATAGGCCATTACCTAGGGAAGCTGAGGCAGGAGCTGAAGTAGGGACCACAGAGGAACGCTGCTTACTGTCTTGTTCACGTCTTGTTCAGTTTGGTTTCAAATACAACCCAGGACCACCTGCCTAGGGGTAGCACCGCCCACAGTGGGCTGGGCCCTCCCATATCAACATACAATCAGGAGAATGATCCACAGACTTGCCCACAGGCCAGCGGAGGCTTAGACTAACCAGCTCAGGGGTCTTTGGCTATTTGGAAACAAATATCAAAACCTGACCTAATGGGCTCAGGGCAGGGCATGAGGAAAAGAAGCAGGAAGGAGGAGCTATCTAGTTAGCCAGCAGAGTTCCGCCAACACTGGCAGCCTAGCAGAGAAGTAAACACATCACTGATGACAAAACTTTCTAATGCCCTGGGTTTAAAGCCTGCTTCTCCTTCCTTCCAGCTATGTTTCATTGGGCAAGGTGTTCAACCTCTCTGGGGCTCTGACTTGCCAACTAGGAATAACAATAGTGCCAACCTCACAGGATTGGCGCAAGGACTTAAAGAAACCCTATAAAGCACTGAGTGTCCTGCCTGATCCCAGTCTGTGCAAGCATTTGCCAGTACCACAACAAGGGAAAATAAAGCTGTGACTCTGAGGTATGTGCCCAACTGTATTCTGTGACACCTTCAAAAAGATACTTCCTTCAAGAAAAGTGAGAGTGGTGGTGCCCGCCCTTAATCCCAGCATTCAGGATGCAGGTGGGGGGAATTAAGCAAATTCGAGGCCAGCTTAATCTATACAGTGAGTTCCAGGACAACCAGGGCTGCACAGTGAGACCCTGTCACAAACAAACAGACAAGCAAAAAAGAACAAAACAAAGAAACTTCTTGGGCTGACAGATGGCTCCTCAGGTAAAGAGCCTGCCGTGCAAGTCTGAAGACAAGACTCGAGTTTGATCCTCAGAATCCATAACATACAAAGGTGGAAGGAAAAGACCAACTCTCAAAGGTTGCTCTCTGGTCTCCCGTGTGTGCAGTGGCATGTGCGCGCGCACACACACAAATAATAAAGGTTTAAAATTAAATATCATCATCATCATCATTATTGGTTTTCCAAGACAGGATTTCTCTGTGTACCCTTGACTCTCCTCTCTAAGTAGACCAGGCTGGCCTCAAACTCAGAGCTCCACCTGCCTCTGCCTCCTGAGTGCTGGGATTAAAGGTGTGCGCCACCACTGCAGGGCTGCATTTTGTTATTTTTAGTCGGGAGGGTGTGGGGGCATTGCCATAGCACACACGTCGCGGTCAGAGTCATTCTCTTTTACTACGGGAGTCAGTTCCATCGAGTTTAGCGGCAGAGGCCTTTACCAGCTGAGGCCTATTGACAGCTCAAATAACAAGTTCTTAAGGGTCAGGTATGATGGGCACACCTGTACTGGACAACAGGCGGATCGGGATTCCCACCTACAGAATGAGCTACATGAGACCCCATCTAAAAAAACAAACTAACTCTGTCTGCCTTTATTTAGCTCAGCGCTCCAAACTCAGTGGGTCACGGGACCCTGGGACCATCGCACCTGCTGCAGTGTTGTCCCACAGGACGCGGGTTTAGAAAGCGCTCTGGGAACTGAAGTCTGAGGCGTGGGAGGGAGCAGGCCTGGGGCAGGTGCACATGCGAACACTGAGGAAAGAGGGGTAGAGAGGACCGGAATGTTAGCCCACAGAGCACACGGGAGCAGAAGAGACATCGGGAACTCACACTTGAAGAGGCAGGGCATGGAGGAGCAGTGATGTGACCGGGGGGTAGGGGTGGGGCTGGGGGTGGGGTGAGGGAGGGTTCATTTGCCGGTCTCCGTTCCCTGTAGCACCCTTGCCCGGTTGTAGACTGGAAGTACTGATGAGTCCCACGGCCTCCTTGAGGACAGACACTTCCCGGGCTGAATGATCCCCGAGGGTAGGAAGATATTCAGTTCCAGCTAAGTGCAGATCGTGCGATTGTAAAACCGACAGCAGTTTTCCAGGGCCTCTGGGCCGAACTCCAAGCTGGTGCTGAGAAGAAAGCGAAAGCCACAGTAGGACATCCAGGCCACTTCTGCGGCAGTTCATAGACTGTGCAGCCCTGGGAAAGTCGCTCCGTATCTCTGGTCCACCTTTCCGCCACAGCCTTGGTCTTTAAGCCTTCCCTGCTCCCGCCTCCGCCCCACGCACTCCACCCCGGCACGCCCGCCCGTCACAACTGCTGCAGCCCGAATGGTCCTCCTACCCCGCCCCCTAGTGCCAAAAGCACGAAAGCACGGAGGATACTTCAGTCTTGGGCTCTGTGACTGGAAAACCCAGATTAGCCACCACCCACAGCCCAGGCGCTCACCCCTGGAAGACCTGGCCACAGCACTGGTACACCTCAAAGCTGCTGCTGCTGAGGGTCTCGTTCAGAAGAGATACGCAGTCCACCTCCAGCCCTCTGGGCACGTAGAGGATCCCTGTGGAGGGAAGCAGCTTGAAGGCTTGGCCCGGGAGCCAACCCTGTCCTCCTAGTAAAAACCGGAAGCAGGGTTCTGAGCCAGGTGGACCCGCAGCACTCACCTGCTACACAGGCGTTCACCAGGGACACAAAGCCCCCGGTGATCAGTGCCCGGAGCACAATCTGGGAGAAGTCACTCCTCCTCTGGGGCACCAGAGAGCCTGCAGAGGGGCAAGAGAGCTCAGGGCCAAGGAAGCCACCCACCCCACCCCTCTGCCCACCTCCTGAAGCTCTGGCACCGTCCTCCTCTGCTGAGTAGCAGGAGGGCAGATGTGGCCCTTCATTGTCCCCTGACCTGTCAAGAAGCTTTCAATAATGTCCCCTTCACCCCACACACTGTAGCAGGAGGAGGGAAAGAAGTTGGTTTCTCTTTCTCTTTTTATGAGACAGGGTCTCACACCGCCCAGACTGGCCTTGAACTCTGATCTTCCTGCCTCTGCCTCCCCAATGTAGAGGTGGCATGAGCCACTGTACCCGGCTGATCTGGTACTGGAGGTTAAACACAGTCTCCAGCATGCGAAGTAAGCACTCTAGCAACTGAGCGACATCACCAGCCTTTGGGTATGTGTGTTGTCGTTTGTTTTGTTTTGTGACAAGGTTTCATACAGCTAAGGCTGGGTTTGAAGTCATGATTCTCCAGTTTCAGCCTCCTGAATGCTGGGATTATAGATGTATGCTACCATGCCCAGCTAGGAAGATGGGTTTGGGGTGTGGCGGCATATTGACTAAACACAGGCCCAGCCATTCCCTGACGATCACTTCACTTCTCCGACACAAAGTTTTACTCTCTCTAAGCCAGGCCAACTGCACCCTGAAGGCAGCTGTGCCCATCTGAGCTGAGCCACACTCATGAGAGGCCTTCCTCTCCCGGGCTGTGAGGGCACAGTGTGAAGCAGAGATGAGCCAGAAGACTCACACTGAGAGGGGAAAAAGTGGGGGAACAGGAAGGGGCCAGGGTGAGGGTGTCCTTCAACAACCTATACCCTTCCTCCCTTTACACTGCCCACTGTCCCCATCAACCCTTCCCAGCCACCCCTTATGAGTCCTCTTGGCTCCTGGCTGCTTCAAAGGCCAGGGACTCACCCAAGCCTCCGAGCATGATGCCGATGGAGCTCAAGTTGGAGAATCCGCAGAGGGCGTAAGTCGTCAGGACTTCTGCTCTGACCTGGAAATACAGATTACAAAGAGGCCTCACCCCAAGGTGATGAAGCCTCCCTAGTCCTTTTTTTTTAAAAAAAAAAAAAATTTATTTATTTTATGTATATGCATGCTCTTTTTGCATGTACACCTTTGTGCCAGGAGAGGGCCCCGATCCCATTACAGATGGTTGTGATCCACCAGGTGGGTGCTGGGAATTGAACTCAGGACCTCTGGAAGTGCAGCCAGTGCTCTTAGCCACTAAGCCATCTCTCCCTCCCTAGTCTTAATTCATTCAATTCCTCTGTGGCCTTGGTGCCCTTCAGGAGGCTCCTTTCCTAGTCTCATTCTCCCACTTTAAGGGAGCTCACACTTTACTGCCTCAAAGACCCAACCCCTCTCTCAGCTGTCCTTCGGCCTGTATCCTAAGTGCCCACCTTTGGTTTGGGAGTCAGGGCTTCAAATAGTCTTAAACTGGTCTCAAGATAATTATAACTGAGGATGACCTTGAACTCCTAACCAATACACACTACCACACCCAGTTTGTGCGGTGCTGGGGATGGAACCCTGGGCTTTGTGTATGGCCAGGCAAGCACTCTACCAACTGAGCCAGAGCCTCAGCCCCCAAGCTTGCTCTGAAGTACAGACTTCTAATGCTGCTGCTTCCTTTCCAGTGGTGACGGCAGCGACCAGATGAGGCGGCGTTTAACCACTAGTTAAACTAGCTACTTAGGAAAGTTGCTCCGTGGAGTCCTGCTCCTCTACCTCTGAGGAAGCTCCTGAAGAAAGCCAGTTAGGAAAGTTGCTGCAGGCTTTGTGTGGAGTTCTGCTTATCCACCTTAGGAAGCTCCTGAAGAAATGACCCAGGGGGCAGGGACAGTTCTACACACTGAGAGTCATTTCAACATTGCCATACACACAGCCAAATAAGGAGTTCAAATGAATGATCCAACAACACAAGACTGGTTAAGATGGCAAGACGCTCACATTTGAGCCTGTGAGATGGGAAATGCTAGGGGCAAATGCTTGCTGCTAAGGCTGACAGTCAACTGTCAATCAACTCCTCCAAGTTGTTCCCTGGCTTCCATGTGTGCAACACACACACACACACACACACACACTGAAATAACTAGTATCAAATAATTAAAAGATACATTTAAATGTATTTAAAGATGGAATTTTGGAACAGGGCGTGGTGGCAAATACCTTTAATCTCAGCACTCAGGAGACAAAGACTATAAGACTAGCCTGGTCTACAGGGGGAGTTTCAGTGATGGAGGTGGGTCTTGTATCTTATCTGTTGATTTCATTGGTTAATAATAAAGAAACTGCCTCGGCCCTCATAGGACAGAAAATTAGGTAGGTGGAGTAAACAGAAGAGAATGCTGGGAAAAAGAAGCTTAGTCAGAGAGTCGCCATGATGCTCCCACGCCAGACAGAATCAGGTTAAGATCCTCCCTGGTAAGCCAGCTCGTGGGCTACACAGAATATTAGAAATGGGTTAGAACAATATGTAAGACCTAGCCAATAAGAAGCTGGAACTAGCCGGGCCAGGCAGTGTTTGAAAGAATACAGTTTCCGTGTAATTATTTCGGGGCATAAGCTAGCCATGCGGGCGGCCGGGTGCTGGGGACGCAGCCCTGCCGCTCCTATTTCAACATTTCAGAACAGCCAAGGCTACACAGAAAAGCCCTGTCTCTTAAAAAAAAAAATGGGGGAGAGGACATAAATTTCAAATGTGTAGCTCAGTGTTTAGTATGTACAACAAGGGCCTGGTTCCATCTCCAACACTGAAAATAAAAATCTACATACGTCTTAAAGATGAGGGAGAAAGCTGGCTACGCTGTAGGCCTATAGTAACTGTGAATTCTGTCTTAGGGGAAAAAAAAAAAGATGTTCTCGTGGAGGCTCGTACCTGTAATTCCCAACATTATGTTCTGACTTTGTATTCTTGCAGAAAGGCTAATGTCATAGGCCTTGTGTCATTTTGTTCATGGGGGTGTTTTTAGAATAAATGCCAACGAAATAAGCCAAGCCCTACACCGTGTGTATCACCAGGGACTGAGGTGGAGGGTCTCCCAGCTCACTCGTTCTTTAGCTCACTGGGGAATCCCACATGCCCCTTTGGAGGAGAGGTGGCAGGCGTTACATCCCTGTTTTCCAAAAGAGAGGCACAACACAGCAGCTCACGCAGGGCCAAAGCTAGCAGTGGCCCATCTGGAACTTGGTCTCAGACAAATCTCTTTCCAGAGCTCACAGTGCGGCCCCGATGTCTGTCTGTCTGGTCTGCCCGGAGAGCAGGATATGGGTGCTTAAGCGTCACCCCAGTGTGTCTCTGGCAGGCTCAGAGAAACACAAAAACAGTTGCCAGGGGCCCCAGGGAATGCTGGGCCATCCCCGCGCTGCCAGGAAGGAATGGAGCACTCACAGAGATCCACTGTTTCTGGTCACCAATCCACTCCTCAGCCCCTGCCAGGCGGCGCTGTTTGTACTGGGAAAGCTCCTGATAGGCCACAAACTCATTCAGAAACAGTTTGACGCCCAGCAGCTCGGCCACCACTGGACAGTCCTCCCAGGCCACGCCCATCAAGAAGGCCACAGGCCGCAGGATGTAGGAGCAGATGAGCTGTGGATAAAGAGATCTGGGTCAGACAGGGTCTCCATCCGCCGTTCCCTATCCCGAGACCCTCCCCTCCACCACAGCCACACCTGGAAGCTGAGTCCCTGGATATCCACCATGTCCCCCAGCCAGGAAAGGGCGGCGTTGATGAAGGCCAGGACAGCCAGGATGGCGATCAGGTTGGCAGCAATGTTGGCGACGACCTTCACTGAGATGGCAGCCCCAGAACTGGCTGCTTCCACGAGGTTCCGAGCGTCTCTACCGTTGGGATCAATAGGTGTCATTACTAGTATGTCCCCAGAAACAGGAAAGCCCCCCACCCCCGTTATAGGTCCAAAGAGGGACCTTGGACAGAGGGCTTCAGAACCGAGGAGACTTGTTTTCTTTCCGAGACAGGGAGAGAAAAAACTTCAAGAGAGAGAGACAAGAGGAGGAAAGGGAGACCTGCTGGTCAAAGAATGAGGAAAACGCCCAGGTTCTGGGCTGCAGTGCAGGACAGTTGATAATTCAGTGCCTTTGGTCACTTGCAAGCAGGCTGGACCCAACCACACTGTGCTGTAAATTCAATATTCCATTCACAGTTTGAGAATCTGAGATGAGGGAGGGAGGGAGGGAAGAAGGGAGGGGAAATATTTTAGCTTTTGTTTTATTTTGTTGAGACAGGCTCTCTCTATGTAGCCCCGGCTATCCTGGAACTCATGATGTAGACCAGGCTGGCCTAGAACTCACAGAGATCCACTTGCCTTTCAAGTGCTGAGATTAAAGACCTGCACCACCATGCCTGGCCTCTTATTATTTTTATGGGTCACCTGATAAAACGAAAATGTTATTTTTGTTGTTGTTGTTGTTGTTTTTCGAGACAGGGTTTCTCTGTGGTTTTTTGGAGCCTGTCCTGGAACTAGCTCTTGTAGACCAGGCTGGTCTCGAACTCACAGAGATCCGCCTGCCTCTGCCTCCCGAGTGTTGGGATTAAAGGCGTGCGCCATCACCGCCCGACTGAAAATGTTTTTGATATATTGGTTTGAGCAAAAGATTTTATTAAGAACATCTGTTTCTCTTTATTTTTAAAAGGCAACCAGAAGCCAGGCTTGAGGGCACACACCCTTAATCCCAGCAGATCTTTGTAAGTTTGAGGCCAGCTTGGTCTACATAGTGAGTTCCTAGCCAGCTACACCCTAAAAAGAAGATGCTTGCTGCCAAGGCTGATGTCCTGGGTCTGATGCTTGGGACCCACATGGTAGAAGCAGAGCGTTAACTCCCACGGGAGTTGGCAGGGACCAGCCTGCTTTCAAGAGGCCAGAAATACATGGAGCTATCAACTCTGCCTTTGCAGAAACCTGATCTTGTCTCGGTTCTGTGACCAGCAGCCCCCTTTCCCTCTTGAGGTTCTTTTCTTTCTCTGAGGGTGCTCTGAATGTCGCGGAGCCTCCACACAAGTGCTGTGACACACATGAACACACTCATGCACACACACACTCAATAACGGAGATGCAATTAAAAGATGTCAAGGGGCTGGAGACATGGCTCAATGGTGAAGAGATCTTGCTGCTCACAGAGGACTCAGGTTTAGTTCCCAGACCCTGACAGCTGTCCCTAACTCTAGCTAGCTGGGGGATCTATTTCCTTTTGCTCTCCAAGGGCACCAGGAATGCATGCAGTACACTTACATGCAGGCAAAACCAATAATATACATAAAATAAAAAGAAAAAAGCCAGTAAATATGCATGTGTATAAAGATGTTTACTAGAAAATATATAATAAAAGTTAGGCATGTAATTCAGCTGGTAGAGTGCTTCCCTAGCAGGTGCAAGACTCTGGGTTCGATTCCCCAGCACCCCATAAATTGGATGTGATAGTACACCTATAATCCCAACACGCAGGCAGTAGAGGCAAAAGGTCAGAAGTTCAAGGTTATCCTCAGATACCTAGCCAGTTTGAGACTGGATGGGGTACTTGAGACCTCGACTCAAAAGTGGGGGGCATAGGGACAGGAGGAAGAAGAGAAGAGGAAAAAGAGAAAGAGAAAGAGGAAGAGGGGGGATGATAGAGGTGAGTTACAATCTATTTCCACAGGAGAAAGCAGCCCCAAAGCCTCAAGATGTGTGAATAACACACAAGAAGTTTGGGTAACTCACACATGGGTCTTTCCCACTTCTGAGGGTTGAGACAGGGCCTCACAGAGCCTAGGCTAGCCGGGAATTTACCGTGTAGTAAGGATGGCCTCCAATTCCTAGCCTTTCTGCTTCCATCTCCCAGGTGCTGGGATCACGGACACCACACCCAGAGTCTTTTCACCAGTTTTAAAGGATTGGCTAATGGTGATGGCTAAGACTCTGACAAAGGCCTGTTGGGACCTGACACGCCACTTGTCAATGTAAGGCTGCCACCTGGTGGTCAGACGTCAGGCGTGCAGAGACGGTAGCAAGGAGCAACACGGGTCCTCATCAAGAACTGAGCCCCACTGGGTGAACCTTGACCAGCCCTTTTTTTCTTCCTGGTCAGAAGCAGATTATAACTTGAAAAATGCATTCAGTACTTGTTTTTTTTCTTAGTTTTGTCCTGTTGATATGAGTCTCACTATGGAGCCCAAGTTGGTTCAGACTTTGCTATGTAGTTAGGCTGGCCATTTTCCTACCTCATTCAACAAATCTGTGTTCGGGTTGGAGAGATGGGTCACAGGTTAGAAGTAACTGGCTGCACTTCCAGAGGACCCGAGTTCAATTCCAGGACGCGAATGGAGGCTCATAACCAACCCATATGGAGGCTCATAACCTAAGCCACATGGAGGTTCCGGTTCCAGGGGATTCCATACCCTCTTCTGGCCTCCTCAAGCTCATGGTACAGATACAGGCATGCAGGCAAATACTCATACATAGTAAATAAATCAATTAGTTCTTTTAAAAAAGAGTCTGTTTTTGCATGTGAAGCCAAGGTAGTGATGGGAGAGAGCGCTCCGTGGGAGACGGAAATGAGGCAAGGACAGCACTGTTCCTCGCTACCCCTGATCTGCGACCCAGCACCCGTGCCCTCTGCGATAGCCCCCTGCTGCACTCACCCATAAGTCAGCTTCACCCCTTCCTCACTCCGGAACTTGGACTCCTCCACCTCGGGGTAGACCAGCTTGGAGAGGGCCAAAGCGCAAGGGGCCGCCATCACGGAGGCAGCAATTAAGGAGGCAGCATCGATCTGCAGGAACAACCAAGAGGGTGAGCCAGAGCTGGTAATAGTGGAGTCCCTGCCTAGCATGCACAGAGCCCTGGATTTGATCTCTAGAATCACAGAACCAGAAGTGGAGTTGCAGGCCTGTAATCCCAGCACTCTCAGGAAGTAGGAAGAGGAAGGTCAGAAAGCCAAGGTCATCCTCAGCTGCGTAGTGAGTTCAAGGTTTCCCTGAGAACCTGTCTCAAAATATAAACAAATAAATAAATGACGTGAGGTTATACGGGACAGGTAGAAGAAACGTGGCAGAGGGACAAGTTCTAAAGTTACCCCATTAGTATGATCTCACTAATCATACTGGCACGGTCATTAATAATCCCTTTTTCCCTCTGTGGCTTTCCCAGTACTTCCGCAAGGGCCCATGGGATGGCTGAGCAGGTAAAGGCACTTGCTGTCAAGCCTGAAAACCTGAGTCCAATCCCTGGAACCGACATGGCAGGAGAGAACCGACTGCTGCACGTTGTCCTCTGCCTTCCACCCGCACGCACATATGTGCACACAAATGATACACTGGGTTCCTTTCCTGGCACCAGGCCAGCTGGAAACAGTGGTGTGGTCCTGTAATGTTAGTACTCTGGGGATGGTGGGTTGGAAAGATGCTTCCACTGTTAAGAATGCTTGCTGCTCTTACAGAGGACTTGAGTTCAGTTCCCAGTCCCTCATCAGACAGCTCAAAACAGATGGTCTTTTCTTGGCCTTTAGTCCCAGCAGAGGCAGGTAGACCTCGGTGAGTTCAAGACCAGCCTGGTCTATGTAGAAAATTCCAGACCAGTCAGAGCTACACAGTGAGCCCCTGTCTCAAAAGATGGAGGAGGGAGAGGAGATGAGAGAAGGAGAGGGGTGAGTTTGCATGGGCCAATTAAAGCAGACGGCAGAAGTTCGGAGGGAACAGCCAGGAAGTGCTGGGGTGGAAGAAGCAGGCCTGGAGATCTTCAGGGTCCCTGCAGGCTCCGAAATCCTCCTTCTTTTTCCAAACCGCTTGCTTCTCCTTAGCCAGAAGCAGAAACCACACGGAGTGTGAAAACGAAGTGTCGCTCACAGAGGCTCAAGTGTTGAGGCTTGGTCCTCAGCCGATGCAACAGAGGAGCCACTGACTTACAGCAGGGAGGGGCTGGCCTCACCTGCAGGCTACTCCATCAGCACACTGAATCGGAGGGAAAGCCTGGTCCGAAGAGTGGGTCACTGGGACACACCTTCAAGGGAACATCTTGCGCCCCAGACTCCTCCTCTCTGTCTCTCTGCTTCCCTGGCTGCCAGGAGGTAGGCTGGGTATTGTTCTACCGCACCTCTGCCATCTCAACACAAGCCCGCAGTGAGTATGAGTGGAAACCTCTGCAGGAGTGATCATTGAAAAGCTAAATCTTCATTTTCAGGGTTTCTCTGGGGTGCTTTTTCATAGAAACAGAAAACCCACTCACACACCATGAAACGAACCTGCGACGGCCCCAACTCCTCTGCCACCAGCACTGGATGGCAGGCCCAGGACCCCCTGATCCTTCCCCAAGAAAGGGCGATTTGAACTTTCAGGGATTCACTGGTCTCCTCCCTGACTGCCCAGCTCCAGTGTAGACAATACTATAGCTGCAGTCTGGGGCTTCTCTGTCCGCCAGCATGGATCCTGACCTATTCTTCAGCTTGACGAGCCCACCGGTTTGTAAGCTTCGATCTTAGTGGGGATCACATATTCCAGAGGCATTGAAATCCCAGCCTCAAATCCCACAGTGACCATTCCCGCTCTTCACAGAGGCGGAGACCTGCATGCAGGCCGGGGAGCTGGCCCTGCTTCATCCCACACCAGCTGACTGAGCCTCTTTCCCCCAGCCCTGTCTCTAGGAGCTCAACCAAGAACACCTTCCATCAGCTACCTGGGCCCTCTTCTACCCGGTGTCCCCTGTGGAAAGAGGGGACAAGAGCAACACCCCCTTTTAGAAAGGAAACAAAGGAGCCAGTCACCGGGCAGGTTTCCCATCTTACACTGACCACCTTTTCGGCGCCATGCTACATGTTTTCTGTCCATCCTCAGTCCACCTACGGCGGTCAGGCGGCAAGTCCAGCTGCCCATTTTATAGGAGTGGAAACGAAACGACAGAGTCACGCTGCCCACTCAGGATCTTGAAGACCCTGTTCCACTTGGGGACAATTCAGTATGAAACATGAGTGGCCAACTCCTGAATGTTCCCCTGACCAGCTTGGGTTCAGAGGCCCCTGCGCCAAGAGACCCGCCTGCTTGGATCTGCAGTAAAAGCTGGCATCTATTCTAGAGCCTTTGGAACAACGGCACAGTTAGAAATGGGTGTGGCGGTCACAGTAGAATGATCCAAGTGGTACTTGGGGCTGTGTGACAAGAGAAGACCTAGGCCACCGCTGTCCAATACAAACATGACAGAGAACACAAATACACTCTTACACCTGCCCCACGTCTTTTCCATAGGGTCTCGTGTATCTCAGGCTCGTCTCGAAAGTTGTTATGCGGTTGATGGTAACCTCGAACTTGTGATCTTTCTCCTCTACCTCCCCGGTGCTGGGCCTCTAAGACATGTGACGTCACCAACACATTTACTGTGGCCAGCAGCCACATCTTTTAAAGCGCTAAGGAAACCAGGCCTGGGAGGAGCAAGTTGGTAACACTAGTTGGGAAGCTGAGGCAGGAGGTTATCAGGCCAGGCCAGTCTAAGTGACTTAGTGAGACACTATTTTAAAAAGGAAAGAAAGGAAGGAAGGAAGGAAGGAAGGAAGGAAGGAAGGAAGGAAGGAAGGAAGGAAGGAAGGAAGGAAAGAACCTTAGCTCAGTGGTACAGCATTTGCCTAGCATTTGGGATAGAGGCCCTGGGTTTGCTCTACAGCACAGAAGCACAGAAGAAAGAATGAAAGAGGAGAGAGAGAGGTCTAGTTCATTTGTAATGTGTTTTAATTAGCCCAGTGTATCTCCAAAGTCTTTCTTTCCACCCACGTAACAATATAAACTTATTTAATAAAACATCTTAATTTTTTCTGTGCAAAGCCTCTTGCACACCTTTTTTGAAACCAGCCATGTTTCAAGTGCTCAGCAGCTCCCAGCTACCGTGTTGGCCAGGTCCTAGAACTAGCCAGTTACCTGCAATGGGAAGGATGTGGGCGAAGGGTCAGAACTGCGGGGAGACGGCTCAGCAGGTGAGAGCACTTGTCTTAACAAGCCTTAGAAAAAAAGTGGGGGCTGGAGAGATGGCTCAGCGGTTAAGAGCACTGACTGCTCTTCCAGAGGTCATGAGTTCAATTCCCAGCAACCACATGGTGGCTCACAACCATCTATGAGAATCTGGTGTCCTCTTCTGGCCTGCAGGTATGCATGTAGACAGAACACTGTATACATAATAAATAAATAATTAAAAAACAAAACAAAAACAAAAAACAAGCCTTAGTTCAATGCCCAGAGCCCATGGTGGAAGGAGAGAACCAGCTCCCAAAGTTGTCTTCCTCCCCCACGCACATGCCTTTGACATGTGCGTCCCTGTGCTCATACACAAACAATAACAGCAAAAAAAATGAATTTGTGAACTGGGAGTGTAGCTCAACAACTTGCCTGGCACGTTTGAAACCCAGCTGGACAAAAAGGGGGAGTCTCCATGGATAGGGCAGGAGGCCAGGCAATGACCTGCTAAGGGCAGGTGGGGGCAGAAGAGAGCTTCTCTGCTGCCCAGGAGGGGAGGAGGGGAGCAGGGAAGAGGGGAAGAGGAAAGGAGGGGGAGGAAGGGAAGGGAGAAGGCCAGCTACATCCTTTCCCTCCCCCTGTTATGGTTGCAGCCTGGGGCTTTCCCTGGGGAGCCCTGTGGCAGCCCCCACACATCTGTAGGGCTACAGAGGAGGGGTAGCCAGGCTGCCAGCTGGGAGGAAAACTGTCCCCCGGGGCCAGACAGACCTGGACTCGAGACTGAAAAAGAGAGGAAGGAGTGGAGTTTAAGCCAGATGGTGGAAAAGGGATAAAGGTCTTCCCGTGTGGATGGTCTTTGTCTTAATGGCACGAACAGATCATTTTTACATGGAGGTCGCCTTAGAGTGATAAGCGTTTTTGTAGAAATTGCACCTGGCATTTTGAATCGTCATCTTTTCTAGGCTAAGCAAATGTGGTGGGATGCTTTCTGGCAATGCTGGTGGCAGCAGCCAGCCAAGCCCCAGATCCAGGTCTGCCCCCACATTCAGGCTGCGGGAAGGCTTGGTGCTGACGGTATAATGTCTCCGATGGAGCAGAGTAGACATATTCCATGTATTTTCATCTTAAGATACATTTGTAGATGTGTTTACTGGGCATAGCCCACTGTACACCCAATATAGCCAACTGTCCTTAAGTTTTCTTTTTGTTTTATTTTATTGAAGTGGGGTTTCACTATGTGACCATGGCTGGCGTTGAACTTTTAATCCTCCTGTCTCAGCTTCTGGAGTGCTGTGATTATAGGTGTATTTTAGTTTTTTAGTGTGGAACTTAGGGCTTCTCAGATGTCGGCAAACGCTGCTTGTGAGATAGATCTCTCGTCTCTTAAGTCCTAGCTAACGACTCTGCAAAGCTCACGTGGCTGGAAAGAACATGGGACTGATTCCTAACACTGACCATGACGCCCAGAGCCAAGCTAAGACATTTGAAGACCTTCAGCGGTGAAAATAGTATGTTCAATATGTCGCTATGAGAAACAGTTCCACGAACAAAGTTTGGGGTTTCAATTTTTGTGTTTTGTTTTTTCTTTGTTTGATTTTTGAGGCAGGATAGCCTCCAGATCTATATGTAGCTAATGACCTGGAACTTCTGATCCTCCTGTCTGTACCTCCCAAGTGCTAAGATTACAGCTCTTTAAAAAATGTATGGGGATAGGGTGGGAGGGGATGATACATGCTTTCAATCTCAACACCTGGGAGGCAAAGGCAGGCGGATCTCTATGAGTTCTAGGCTAGCCTGGTCTACAAAGCGAGTTCCAGGCCAGCCAGGGCTGCATGGAGAAACCCTGTCTCAGAAACAAACAAACAAACAAACAAAAAAGTGTGTGTGTCCACGTCCACAGCCTGAGGTTCTGAGAATTGACCTGAGGTAGTAGAGCCAGGCTTGGCAGCAGGTGCTTTCCATATCATCTTGCCCACCTGGGTTTGGGTTTGGTTTGGTTTTGACAGCATCTTACTATGTAACCCAGGCAGTCAGTCCTGAACTCAGGACCTTACTGCCTTAATCTGCACCACCACCGCCAATTTAGGATGCGAACCTTTTATAAACTTACTTGTGAGGCTGGGACACAGCTCAGTCTGTGCAGTGCTTGCCTAGCATTCTTAGTGCCCTGAATCTGAACCCCAGCATCACATAAACCAGGTGCCGTGGTGCGTGTCTAAACTCCTAAATCTTGGGCTAAGGCAGGAGGCCAACCTCAGCTACATAGGGAAACCCTGCCAAAAACACCAAACCAGTCTCACGTCGTGGTGCACACCTTTAATCCCAGCTCTTGGGAAGCAAAAGTAGGAGGATTTCTGAGTTCAAGGCCAGCTGGTCTAGTAGCTAGTTCCAGGACTACAATAGAGAGATCCTGTCTCGAAACAAGCAATCAAAACATCAAACCAAGCTGGCACCTTTAGTCCCGGCACTGAGAGAGATGAGGCAGGCAGATCTCTCTCTGTGAGTTCGAGACCAGCCTGGTCTACAGAGTGAGCTCCAGGCCAGCCAAGGAGCTGTTTCAAACGATAACAAAATTCACCAAACCCACAACAAATGCTTCGTTTACTCCCATAACAGACAAAGATAACTGTGATAGTTACAAAGGGAAAAAAAATATCAGACTGGAGCGTTGAGTGTGAAATCACAAGCAGGTACCCTGCATTTCACCGAGCATCAGTGTCGGGTGCTCTCTCAGAGACAAAAGCTCCTCTCTGCCCGTGCTATTGCACTGTGAACTATGCACAATTCACACCACTGGGTTGACCCATGAAAGCATTATAATATATATCATCATTTAGGAGCAAAGGAAAGACATGACCCCCCCCCCACGACACACAAAAGCCACAGTTTGCTTATCTAGAAAATGGGGATATTAGAGAGCCCAGGATAGTGCCCAATATATAAGAGCTTAGCAAAGGGAATTCTGGGAATCTGCCCCCAGGAGCCATGTGAAAAGCCTGAGCAAGTGGTTCAGCCCAACAAGCCAACCTTGCTCAGGCAAAGCTGGGCTTTGAGACACAGAGAGGGGACACCCAGAGCTGCTGTGACTGTGTGGAGGTGTTAGAAAGGCAATTTCAGGGCTTTGGCATAACCACGCAACAGAAGGTTCTACCTACCCCAAAGGAGATATAGGCGCCCAGGAGGCTGCCGGCAATAGTAGCGTAGCCTCCAGTCATGACAACGTGAACTTCGGAGAGTGTCATGTCTGCCAGGTAGGGCCGGATGAGCAGGGGAGCTTCAGTCTATAAACAAGACAGACATAGACAATGAGCAGGGGTGGCTGGGCCCCGTTCTCACCGCCCCTGCCCCTCGTCACGGTGCACGACAAGGAATCTCAGAGGATGAGACAGAAGGGTGGGGTCCTATTCAGCTGGGTCTCTCTGGACCTCACAGTCCTCCCAGCTCTGTGGAAGGAGCACCACACTACACTCTGGTTCACAATGCTCCCTGTGTTGACACATACCATGTGCCTCAAACCCAGGCACCTCCTCATGGCTTCCTATCTGAGACAGAAAAGACCCTCCTTTTCCAGGGGAGCAAACAGAAGCCGGAACGTCTGTGGATGCCAAGGGGAGTACCACTAAGAGAGGAGCTGGGTAGGCAACGGGCATTTGCTCTGGGACCTGTGGGGAAGTCTGGGGCCACACTCTGTGCGGTACAGCTATGGAGCCACTGGCGTCTCAGTACTGCTCTGCAGGGTAGGGTAGGGAGATAAAGAGGATGACGGCTAATCTTCAGAATCACCATGGAAACACACCCAGAGAGTTCTAACTGAGGAGGGATGACCCACCAACCCCGAATGTGGATGGCATTGTCCCACAGGCTGGGGCCCAGGATGAATACAAACTTGAGATAAAGGCAAGAAGATCAGCCCCTGAAGGCCTTTAGCCCAGCACTCAAGGAAGAGGCAGGTGGATCTCTGAGTTCAAGGCCAGATTGGTCTACAGGAGGGAGTCCCAGGACAGCCAGGGCTGCACTGGGAAACCCAGTCTCAAAATACAAAACAAAACAAACAAAAGCCTAAAAAGAGAGAGAGAGAGAGAGACGGATAGAGGTAGATGGGGGGAGGTTGTTTTGGGAACAACTTGTCCGCAACCACATCTGTCTGGAACACCAAACATGCAAACTATGAAACCCTTTGAAATTAGCATGCTTGCACCATAATAAAAAAAAAATAGGCCAACATTTTCCTAAACTGCCCAGTGAACTAAGAAATCACTTGACATGGCTGTCTCTCAGGGACTCCCTGACTTGCACAGTTTTCTTTCTCATGAAGGTTGGGCCTGAAGATACTTGGGAGTCCTGGTGCCTACAGAGCCATAGTTATTCTGAAAATACATTTTAGACAGAGGAAAGCCGAGAGAAAGGATACGGTGGAAAGAAGCCTGCTCAGGAAACAAAAAACCAAAACCTAAATGTTGCCGTCACTTATCCTTGGGGTACCTTGGCCGAACCATTCATACCTTGCAGGCCTTAGTTTCCCCATCTAAAGCCTGTGAGTCTCTAAGCTGATGACAACAGCCTAGGCTGGAGTGGCAGAGGTGCCGAAAAGGCCATGTCCGGGTTTGGCATGACACAGGCGGGGCATACAGCCCCCAAACTGAGCATCCCTGGGCAGCAGCCTCTGATGGCCTGGAGACAGACTGAAATGGCTCTCGCTTGAATTAAATTGGCTCCCTGCCCCACCTCCAGGCTGGTTTGGGTAGCTGCAGCACCCACCTGGCTCACAAAGATGTTTCCTGCCACACTCAGGGTCTCAGTGGCTGAGGTGCCCATGGTGACCTGCATCAGCCAGGCAATCTGGAAGAAAACAGAGTGCTCGTGAGCGGACATTGGCAAGCGCAGACTCAGAAAGAACTGGGGGACGAAGGTACTTTAGAAGTCTTTCTTTCCAGCTCAGGGCCCTGCTGTGGTTTGAATGGCCTCTCCAAAACTCATGTTGAAATTTAATTAGCACTGGGGCAGTATTAAGAGGTGAGCAGGGAGCTGGGGAGATGATGGCTCAGTCAGTCAGGTACAGACTTCCAGCTCCCGTGTAAAACGCAGGCGCCTGGAATCCCGGTGCTGGGAAGACGGAGACTGAGGGATCCCTGGGACTCGCCAACCAACCAACATTGGTGAGCTCCAGGTTCAGCGAGAGATCCTGCCTCAGAAAATAAGGGGAAAGCTCAGCCAGCTAGCGCATCAGGTAAGGGCATTGGCCACCAAGCCTGGTGATCGAGGTTGATCCCCAGGTCCCACACAGTGGAAAGAGAGAACCAACTCCTCCTCTGACTACTACACAAGTCTATGGCACACACACACACACACACACACACACACACAAAACAGAGATTTTATTTTGGATTTGTCTTATGTGCCTGCATATGCCTGAGGCTTAGAGAAAAGGCATCAGATCAGCTGGGGCTGGAGTTACAGGAAGCTGTGATCTGCCAAGGTGAACACTGGGAACCTCTGCATGAACAGGACATATTCTTAGTTGCTGAGCCATCTCTCCAGCCCCCAGATAAATAATTTTTTAAAAAGAAAAAACTGGCCGGGCGGTGGTGGTGCACGCCTTTAATCCCAGCACTCGGGAGGCAGAGGCAGGCAGATCTCTGTGAGTTCGAGGCCAGCCTGGTCTACAAGAGCTAGTACCAGGACAGGCTCCAAAGCTACAGAGAAACCCTGTCTCGAAAAACTAAAAAAAAAAAAAGAAAAAGAAAAAACTGTAGTTGGGCTTGGTGGCACACATTTTTAACTTTAGCACTCAAGAGGCAGAGACAGGCAGATCTCTGTGAGTTCGAGGCCAGCCTGGTCTACAAGAGCTAGTACCAGGACAGGCTCCAAAGCTACAGAGAAACCCTGTCTCGAAAAACTAAAAAAAAAAAAAGAAAAAGAAAAAACTGTAGTTGGGCTTGGTGGCACACATTTTTAACTTTAGCACTCAAGAGGCAGAGACAGGCAGATCTCTGTGAGTTCATGGCCAGCCTTGTCCACACAGCGAGTTCTAGGACAGCCAGAGCCACATAGTAAGACCCTGTCTCCAAAATAACATTTAAATTACTTCACATAATGTCTAGCCTAGCTTTCCTCAGTTACTTCACTAGAGACTTCCTTTTCCAAGTAGCGTTTGGTAGCATGCCATGGTCTAGAGCTCCGTGGAAAGGGGTTCGGGACACACCGTGCTAGAAAGGTCTTCCTTAGAACGTTCTGCTCTGCTGCCACCTCGCAGCCTGTCCTTGTTCAGACTCTCATCATAAACATTTGGAAATAAATCCCTCCTCTCTTCCTCTTGTCCAGGCCCATCATTTTCGGTCCCTCCATCCCTGCTGCTATGAATTCAAGCCTTGCACTTTGCAGCTCATAGCAGCCACTGTGTGTCCAAGTCCACGCTTGAACACATTCTCCAGATCCAGGGCTTGTCCCCTCCCTGGACTCTGCCGGGTGTGCTCTTGACACAACCACATTCTTGCTGCCCTCCAAAGGCGCTGACTTATTCTGAGCTCTGTCGGCTAAACCCTCAGCACTTTCTGCCAGGTCTGACGCTGTGCAAGGCTATTTCCAGCATCCTGGTGTGATGCACAGCTCGCAAACCTAAGTGCGTTTGGGCTGCCAAGATGGCTCAGCAGGTAAAGGTGCTTGCTGCCAAGCCTGACAGCCGGAGTTTGAACTCCAGGTCCCATATGGCAGAAGGAGAAAACCAACTCCTGTAAAGAGTCTTCTGACCTCCACATGTGTAGCCTGATATGTATGCATGTACACATGTGCGTAGTATACACACACACACAGTAAACAAACAAGTAAACAAATGTAATAGGCTTTTTAAAGCAAGCACATTTATACCAGCTAAGGCCAATGTGGCCTGTTGTTATCATTGCTCAACATCATTTTGGTATAAATAATTTTTCTTCTACAGCCTGTGTTGCCTCACAGACCCCCCCCCCCCCGGACCCTGGGAGCAGAGGATTCTGGGAAGGTATAGATCCAGAAAGCAAGGAATTCTAGGTTAGGGAGGTAGACCTTGAGCCATGGGATTCTGGGAGAATACGTTATGCTGAGGGCAGGGGCATCCTGGGATGACAGGATTCTAGAAGGGTGTAAAACTGAGAGCCGGTTACTCGGAAGAACCAAGCACGGGCCTGAGGACTCACCTTCAGAATCACCCACTGCATGAGGCCCACGTAGTAGAGAACCGACATGACGCAGCTGAAGAAGACGATGATGGGCAGAACCTGCCGGGAAACGGAGAGCCCCGCTTAGAGGTGCGGGGCGGGGCCCTGGTCCACACCCCCAAAGCCTTGCCTCTCAGGGGTACTGGTTAGAGGTGCGCGGTGGGGGCCCTGGTCCACACCCCCCAAGCCTTGCCTCTCAGGGGTCCTTCGGGTTCAGGGAGAAGCCTTGAAGTCAATGCCCGTGTCCCAGATGACCCCCAGCGGGGCTTATTTCAGGTCCCTGTCTCCCGTTCTGAGTAAGGCCACCGAAGACCCCCACTTCTCCCCAACGCGAGCCTGTGCTGGGCTGTGGGGATGGGGGCTGCCTTTACCACCCGTTTCTTTATCTCCATCACGAGGATGAATCCTTGGGATTGCCATGAAGGCTAAAGGCGCTCAGCCCTAGCACTCCGATGGACTCTCCTACTTCTTTGTGAGCTCAGTTCTGGTCCATGACCCGACTGGCCCCCTGCACTCTGGGCCTGAATGGGGGAACCCTCCTTATTGTGGCTTTCTGCTTCTGTTCAGGGTTGTCAAACTTGGAGCTGACTTACCCTGGCCCTGCAATTAGCACCTCATCCTGCCACCCTGCTTCCTCTTTGGTCATGCCAGGGTCCTCACATCCATTCCTTCCCTTCCAGGTCCACAGCCCCACCCCGGGGCTTTCATGCTATAGCTCTTTTATTTATTTTTAAAGATTTATTTTATTGTTCTAATGATAGTAGATGGGGGGACGTGATACGTGCGCGTGAGGGTGGGCACCTGCAGAAGCCAAAAGCGGGTATCAGATGCCCTCGAGTGGGATCACAGATGGTTGTGAAATGCCTGACGCAGGTACTAGGAACCAAACTCGGGTCTTTTGCAAGTGTTTGTCTCACCCATGTATTCCTTTTTCAAAGAGTTCAAAAGTCCTGCAGAGTTGCTAATGATATGGGAACACTCTCATTAAAAAACGGGAAAGTCAGCCCGGGTGGTGGTGGCGCACACCTTCAATCCCAGCGCTCAGGAGGCAGAGGCAGGCGGGTCTCTGAGTTCGCGGCCAGCCTGGTCTACAGAGCAAGTTCCAGGACAGCCAGGGCTACACAGAGAAACCCTGTCTTGAAAAACAAAGCAAAAGGTGGGAAAGTTGGAATATTAAAACATGGACACAAAAAAAATAAAAAAATAAAAAATAAATTAAAAAAAACCATGGACATGGGAAGGGAGCCAGCAAGATGGCTCAGCCAGGAAGGGTGCTTATCACTGAGTTTCGTCACTGCAATCCACAAGGACAGGACAACCAGGACTGTTACACAGAGAACCCTGTCTCCAAAGACAAAAACTTTTGAACTTGGTGGGTTTGAGAGGTCCCCAGAATCTCTGAGTGGAATGGCCCACTAGTTAAAGGGTCCAGGGCTGAGCAGGAACACTGGATGGGGACTATTGTGGAATATTACTTTAACTGCACAAAGATGTCTTGTATTTGGTTATGCTGCATTTATTTAATGATGTAACAATGTGTGTTTAATTATGTAAAGATAGGTTGCATTTTTTTTTTTACCTTGCCTGCCTAAGGCACCTGATTGGTTTAATAAAAAGCTGAATGACCAATAGCTAGGCAGGAGAGGGATAGGCAGGGCTAGCAGGCAGAGAGAATGAATAGGAGGAGGAGGCCAGAAAGAAGAGAGCAGAGGACATAGGAGTCATCCAGGGCCAGAAGTCAGGCAGCCCCCAGCCAGGCATAGAGACAGCAGGAGAGTAAGATATGTTACAAGTTGTCCTCTGACTTCCACATACACGTGGCGCACACACACATACCCAATTAATTAATTAAAAGTTATTTTAAAAGGAAAAAAGGATGATGAGGTCCAGCTGAAGCGGCAGAGCAAACGCCAATCACAGACTGCAGAGCCTGATCCTGGAGTCTGCATGGCTAAGTGAGAGGAGAATAAAGAGCCTAGGAACCTGAGGTCGTCTAGAGGCAAGGCGGCCAAAACCAGGCCCGGCCAGTCAACTGCGAGGGAGCCCCAGTGCTCTGACAAGATAAGACAGACTGTCAAACTAGCGAGAAGCCTAGCTAGGGGCGAGCAGTGTCGGAGAAAGGATGTACACACAGACCAGATGCCAAGTAACACTGAGAAGGAACGAGACACCCAGAGATGGCCAGGACAGGCAGCATTTCCAGGAGGCCAAGCTGGCAGGGAAGGCTGAAGGGCAGGAGTTGGTTATTTATGTTTTGAAAGGCGAGAGTCTTGCACAATCTCCCAAAGCAAGCAGATGCTCATAGGTGGCAGCAAAGATCTGCTCCTGCAGCCCAGCTGGGGATGAAAGAGGAGTCTGACGGAGGGCTCCCCTCCCCCATCCCAACCAGCATCACTGGCCTTCTCTGGACTTCTTCCTCTCCACCCCGACACTTTGGCATGCCTGCTGCTGGGGCTGTCACCCAGCAGGGAATGTAGGTACTGATTTCAGAAACCCCATTCCTGCCCTATAACTCCACCTTACCAATGCATGGAGCTGAACTAGCCACAGCCCAGGGTGGTGACATCATTCTGCTCTCACAGGAGCCAGATCTTTTACAGTCTAGTCAGCCGGTGTGATTGGTCATGTGAGGGACTCCAGAGCAGCTAACCAGCTGGCTACAACCCCGGGCTCAAGGCAGGAAAATGCGTCCGGGATTGGCAGAGTGGGCATCAGAAGGCCTGTTCTCACTACAGATGGGGGCTGTTGGTGACAGAGAAGCCACCTTTGGGGTGACGTGGTGAATGGCGAAGGAGGGAAGAAGGGAAGGGAAATGGAAGAGAAGAGGGGTGGCCTTTGGGTAGCTTAGTGATAAAGCATTTGCCTAGCATTTGAGGCCCTGGGTTGGAACCTAAGGAGCCCCAGCACCAGAAATAATAGAAGAAAAACATAAAGGGGAGGAGAGGGGAGGGGAGGGGAGGAGAGGAGAGAGAAGGGGAGAGAAGGGGAGGGGAGGGGAGGGGAGGAGAGGGGAGGGGAGGGGAGGGGAGGAGAGGAGAGAGAAGGGGAGAGAAGGGGAGGGGGAAGGCAGACAGGCTCCGATTTTCTAAGGTAGGGTATGTAATAATGTCCCTATGCCCAGCATGACCTCACAGCCCAAACCCACCTTTGGGCGTACAGGGCCTGGGATGGCAGACAATCAGGAAGGACAAAGGAAGAACTATTAACTCCTACTATGTGCCTGATGGGAAGTCCTACTATGAGCCAGATACCCACCGATACATGGTGGCTCATGGATCCTCAAAGCAACTGAGATGTTTGTAGCCATCTCCGCCTAACCAGTGGGTACACTGAGGCTCTGCGGTGTGAGCCGCCCGGTGAGGTCACACAGTTGAGAATGGGCAGAGGCCGCCTTCTGCCAGGAAGGTTGCCAAAGTCCTGCACGGCTGAGGGATCTGCCCTGGGAAAGCTTGCCTCTCCGTGTTCAGGGCAGCACATGTCCCCGCGATAGGCTGAGTCTCCCAGATTCACATCATAAGACCAAAGCCTGGGTGACAACAGGATTAGAAGGGCCAAGGAGGTGACTGGGTCACGGGTGTAGCCCTCGTGGATGCAGTCAGCTCCGCCCCCCATGCAGGAGGGCTCTGGAGTGCTCCTGTCTTCCACCATGTGACTATGACCGGGAAGAGAGAGTCCTCATCAGGACATGACCACGGGAGCACTCTGCTCACCTCCCTGGCCTATGGATTACAGAGTGAATTCCTGTTGTCTGTGAGCCAGCCCGCCTATAGTTTTTAATCACAGCATCCAATACCCTGAGAACCATTGCTCCAGAGGCCCACACCCTTGGAACCAACTTCATCCTGCCGGGAAGTCAAACCTGTTCAAACTGGCTGTTTTTTCTCAGCCATCCCACGTCCTTCCTTTCAGCCTTCAGACCATCAGTCCCTGGCTCTCATCCCAACCCCTCTCTGAAAACCTAAGGGGATTAGTGTTTGCATTAGGCAGATACCCTCAAACTCTGGGGAGATAAAAAGTCTCTTTCACCTCAGGGGCTCCTCAGGGGGAGCCGTTGAAGGACAGACACTGCTTAGCCGAGGAGGTGGGGCCTGTGCCAGAGGCTGGAGCCATCCACTGTGAGAGAGGGCGTATGATCTTGGGTCAGCCAGACCCAGCAAGAAAGCAGGAACCGGGGACGTGAGGAGGGGGGCACAGGGGGATTGGGTGGAAAGTTACTAGAAGGGAGATGGAGCCAAAGCAGGGGTGGGGACCGGGGTGAGAGGGTGACTAAGCAAGCACATGCAGCCAGGAGCAGGACACCACGTGGACCGTGCAGAACTCTGGGCCCCGGAGAAGCTGGAGGCTGAAGAGGTCCCAGGGTGATTCTACTTCCTGGACACAAGATCTTTTGGACAAGGTTCCCAGCAGGAGACAGCCTGGGTTCTAAAAATCTGCAGGCACTCAGGGAAGGCTTCTCTGGAGTGGACACTGGCCAGAGACTTAGGCTAGATTTGGGAGGCTCATGGGAAGAGCCTCAAATTCAGTTCAGTACCCAACAGAACCACCGTACCTTGAGGGCAAGTCTCAGTGTTGAAATGTATGTGTGTGTGTGTGTGTCCTCTCAATGTTGAAAGGTGTGTGTGTGTGTGTGTCTATGTATGTGTGTTTGTGGTCTGACCTTGCTAAGGTTGCCATTGGCTAACACACTGACCAGGAATTTATGTGTAGGACTGACCTCCCAGAGTCCAGGAAGTTTCTAGAACTGGACTGCAAACTGCTGAGGCTGATCAATGGTGAGCCACTTACTATTCTTCCCCTAACTGAATACTGAATCCTCAAAGGTTCTGTTCGCATAAGTGCCTCTCCAGTGTTATTAAGGGTGCTTCTGGGTCTCCAAGAAAAACACACCATTACTGGTGTCACCTCAGAGTCTGAGGAAGTGGGCTGACTCCTGTCACTAGGAGTCCAGTGACAGGTCTAACGCTGGGCAGTCCTGCCTCCCTGGGTGATTAAGGCCCAGGGCTTGGCTAGACCCTCTGTAAATCAAAGTGGAGGTCAAAGGCCACAGGGCTCCTGCCTCATACCGACAGTTGAGGTGCAGTGGTTCAAAAGAGCGATTTGAGAAGAGGCAGGTGGCAGATGTGTGCGTGTTCTTCCAGAATGGACGGCACAGCCTCCACCAGGGAGGGAAGGACACAGCAGCCATGCCAGGGACACGACAGTCTGCAATGGGGAGCCTTGGAGAGGCGGCTGCTGTTTGCCTGGCCTGGAGCCCCTTCCCTGCCTTCTTTTGTGCAGAGGATTTCCTGTCCAGCAACAGCCACCTTCTTCACAGTAAGCCTGGGGCTCCTGGGGTGACAGGTATACGTTCTTCTCAGGTGTGTGCTGTCAGCCAGGCCTAGAGCCACTCTGCGGGAGCTAATGAGAACGTGAGTCTCTGTCTGTCTGTCTGTCTGTCTGTCTGTCTGTCTGTCTCTTCTCTCTGTCTGTCTCTGTCTTTCCTTCTCTCCCTCCCTTCTCCCATCTCTCCTCTTTTCTCCTTTCTAATGTTGCTAAAGCTTGTTAGATACAAGCCTGGGAAATATTTACCACCACCTCAAGACAGCCCGCTCATAGCTAAAACCAGGAATCAGAACCAGGACAGCGGCAAGATCAGACCAAGGCAGATAGATCCCAGGTCATGTTGAGCACCTGGGTCCAGCAGGACCTGAAGTCCTTCCCAGTCACAGAAATTCATCTTTTCTGCGCCCTACAGCCAGTTTGAGTTTGCCTTTCTGCATATACAGCTCTTTAAAAGTTAAACACTGGTCAGGAAGTACAGCCCAGACTCCCAGATAGAGCCCCAGGCTAACTGTGAGACAAGATGGGGGGGGAAACCAGTGACCGCTGCTTTTCCCAGGCAGGGATGCTGTCTGCCACCATTGCTCTGATTGTATACTAGACCCCTAACAGAAGCTTGGAACATCGGGGGACCCTGAAAATGTAACTGATCACAGGTCCTCCTGCCTCTCCTGGGAGATACACCAAAGGAAACGTTTCTCTTTTGGTTTTGGCATTGTGTTTTGAGACAAGGTTTCTCCATCAGGAACTCACTCTGTAGACCAGGCTGGCCTCCAACTCAAGAGATCCACCTGCCTCTGCCTCCCAAGTGCTGGGCTTAACGGTGTTTGTCACCACCACCCAGCTAATGGATGCATTGCTAAGGATTGCTTCCTTTCAATCAGCCCTTTAATTCCATAACCCCAGCTTCAGAGCACAAGAGCTCAGTTGCTCCGGTTGCTGGATGCAGGGTAGCTGGGTCAAGCATGGTCATATTATCTAGTGCGGTCCAATCAGAACCCTGGACCATCCAGCTGGCAGAGGAGAGTGGCTCCGTGCTAACCGATGGGCTGTAAGGCTGAACATCTGGTGTTGATGGGGTAAACATGGAATGAGGGATGAAGCTGACCCCGAAGGCTAAGCAGAGTGGCTGGGAGGCTGCAGCTGTTCTGGGGCCAGGTTCTGGCTTTTGCCTGCTCCACCTGCCCTTCTAGTCAGTGAGCCAAGAAGCAGCCCGGCCCCCTCCTCCCTGGGAAGTGGGGTGCAAGCTGGGCGGGCGGGAGAGGGCAGGGGTGGTGGTGATTTCTGTCCCACTCAACCAACAATCCCAAAGAATGCTATTTCTTACAAGCCGGGAGGACCAGGAGCTCTTGCCACCTAAGAAAGGGGCTCCAATGTCAGGGCACAGAAACTATAAAGCAAGAACGCTGGGCTGGAGCTCCAATCTTAACTCACTGGCCTCTGACTTTGCACAAGCGTCAGCCACACGGAGCCTCAGGTTCCTCATCTATAAAGGGGACGATTGTATTTTCTCTGAAGGGTTGGTGTGAGACAGAAATGAAGTCGTCCAGCCACATCTCCTCTCTGTAAGTTGGAGCAGCTATTAGGACTTTCTCCCACCCCACCCCTGTCCCATCCCCCGCCCCTCAGCTTTTCTTTTTTTCTTCCACTAGAATTATCTGGCCTTGAGTGGGACAGAGTGGTTTGTAATAACCCTGGACTGCTTCAGAGTCTGGGTTTGGCCCTTGAGGGATAAACCCTGGGCTGCGCTGCTGGAGTTAGAGAGGAGGGTCCTTGACTCTGGCATAGTGTTGCTTCACAGTATTGGTAGAAGGATCATGAATTTAAATTCACACTCAGCTCTGTGATGAGGTCAAGGCTAGCCTGGGCTACATGAGACCCTATACCAGCACTCGGGAGGCAGAGGCAGACAGATCTCTGTGAGTTTGAGGCCACTCTGCTCTACAGAGAGAGTTCCAGGACAACCAGGGATACACAGAGAAGTCCTATCTTGAAAAACAAAGGAAGTTCAGCCATTTGTCTTAGACCACAGGGAAATGACTCCAGGGCCACACGGCCACTGGGACTCGGTGCCCTTGCACAACCTTCCTAGCAGGCCCAGAGGGACTTCCCAAGACCTCATTCAGCAAACAGCAGAGCCCCTGGTCATGGCTTTGTGAGGCTTAAGGCTGAATGAAGGATGCAAAGTAAGAGCAAACCCTGTCCTCAAATGACCAATGCTATTGCGACAGCAGTATGTGGAGCTGAGGGAGAAACAATGCATGTCCCCAACCTGGCATCCCTAGGCAATAATGCATCATCTTTGCTGGGCCCCTTCCCGGCACACACACCAGCATCCTGCCTACTGTCTTTCCTATCTGCTGTTGACATACTTGTTAACCAACCAACGACGTAGTCAGGACTGCTCAGAACTCTTTAACAGTTCCTCAGTTAGTGGAGAAAACCCAGACGCAAGGCACGCATGGTGGCACGGGCTTGCAAACCCAGAACTCAGAAGGATTGCAAGCTTGAGGCCAGTTTGAGTTACGTCTCAACAAAAGATCCCCAGATGGCTCCGCCTGGCATTCAGACCCTTCAAGCCAGAGTCCCACTGAACTCACTGAAGACCGTCTCAAGCTTCCTTCCAGATGTTTCCATGCCTCAAACCAAAGCTCGCCCTGTACCTCAGATGCCCCAGCTCCCTCTCAGCTTCCATTCCAGCCTCTACCCACACTACTTTAATCTTCCTGCTTCCAACTCCCAATCTTCCGTGTCCTGGGACTCTGCCATATCCTCAGGGAGTCTCACTCAGCATCCCTAGAGACAAATTCTCCCTCCTGCAACTGTCTCAGTCACTTGAACCACACACACTGGAGGTAGGTAGGGCCATCATATGTTGTTCGGAGCTGAGAAGCTGTCAGGGCTGTACCTCGAGGTGCCTTCTAGAAGTGACCTGCACCAGATCTTCACCTCTTCCCCTGGAACTTTGGGTGCCCCCTACTTGGTTGTGCAGATACGAAGAGAACAGTCTCCACACCCTACAGGAATGGTATTCAGGTGAGCTTGTTGAATGGCCAAGGCCTTCCCAATGTCTTTATACAAAATGGATCTCAAGGGGCAAATCTGCCCAGGGTCAGGCAGACTCTAGGAACCTGGGACCCTCCCTTTCCTTGTAACCCTGCATCGTTCAAACTATTTGGACAGGCTGGGTCTTCCTCACAGGGTCACTGGCACAACAGACCCTGAGCCCCAAGGAAAAATGGTAAAAGGTCAGGGTTCAGACCCAGAAGAAAGGACTGGACTTTAGCTCACCACAAGCCCAGAAATCTCTAGGTGAGGCTAGAAGCCCCTGGGTTCAACATCCCCAGCTGTGTAGAAAGGCTCCGGGAACAGCTATCAAAGACTCCAGAAGCTACCAGCATCATCTGTGTGCAGCCCCTCCATGGGGCTTAGCGGTCTAGACAGGCAACAATGATTCATCTCCTTGTTGCTATGGCACCAGAGGCAGAACCCTGGGGCCAGACTGGCACTCTCTTTGCCTGGCTTTTGGCAATGCACTGTAAGTCTGGAGTGAGCTTCAGGATCTACAGTTTGGCTGTAAACCAGGCTATACCAAAGGGGGAATCATGCCAAAGTCCTCGCTAACAAAGGCTTGGCCAGGTTACCAGAGGGAAAAGAAACACATTCACAACTCCTTCCAGAACAGCAAGGGGGACGGCATTAGCAATGGCCCCAGCAGGAACTGCTCTGTGTTTTTCTAGTCATGGCCTCTGCCATGAGACAATGGAGTCTTAAAAACAGAAGAGTAACTTTAATCTTAATTTCTACTATAATAATTTTCATGACTGTAGATGTACAATAAAATGTTGAGAGGGAAGGAGAAGAAGGGGAGAGAGAGAGAGAAGGGGGAAGAAAGAGGAAGGAGAGGAAGGAGCTACAGCCTATGGCTGGAAGGAGTGGGAGGCTTCTGTGGAGGAGGCTGGCCATGAGGGGTGGGGAAGGAGGGCCTGTGTCCCCACAGCAAGCTGGGAGCTATCTCTCTATCTCTCTCGGTCCCTACTTCCTGCCCTCGGCCCTTCTAGCAGTTCTGTGATTAGCGCTTAAGAAAAATGACGCAGCAGGGCGGTAGTGGTGCACAACTCCCAGCACTCGGGAGGCAGAGGCAGGTGGATCTCTGTGAGTTCAAGGCCAGCCTGGTCTACAGAGTGAGTTCCAGGACAGCCAGAGATACACAGAGAAACCCTGTCTCAAAAAACAAAGATAGGAAGGAAGGAAGGAAGGAAGGAAGGAAGGAAGGAAGGAAGGAAGGAAGGAAGGAAGGAAGGAAGGAAGGAAGGACAGACAATGCAGAAATAGCAAACTTCCCCACATTTTACAAAATGTAGCCCAAAATATCATCAGACAAACAGGTCGCTGGGTCCTTTCCCACCCTGAGCTTCGGCTTCATCAGCATCCTAGGGACCAGCCTGTGCCCACTGGAGCCCTCATCACCTGAGTTCAATGCCTCTCCGCTCAGCTGGCTCCCGCAGCCAGGACCGGAGCAGCAACTGCCCACCCATGCTGGACCAAGAGTCCACTGACCTGAAAGGCAAAGACATCCTTGACCAGGGCCTCCCCGAAGACAAAGCTGGAGCCGGCCTCGGTGTAGCTCAGGAAGACCTAGAGGGAACACAAGCACAGGGATGGGGCTAGGAACAGGGTCGGGGAGAACCATGGCCGGAAACCCAGGCTGGAGTGAGCAGGTCCAGCCCAGGTGCTACAGGCCTTCCTGCCTTGAGATGTGCCAGCCCGGGGCACAGTCCCACCATGTGGCCTCCCACAACAGCGTTTAATTTAACTTACTGAAGCATAGAAGAGCGAAAATGATAAGTCTTATGTTATATATACTTTATCATAGTGAGTTCGAGGCTAACCTGAACAGCATGAGACACTGTCAAAGCAAAACAGACGGATTATTTCATGCCTGTAACCTCAGCTGGGAAACTGAGGCAGGAGGATTGCCAGGTGTTCAAGGCCAGCCTGGGCTACATAGTGAGATTGTCTCAAAAACTAAAACAAGCAAATAACGAACCTAAAGTTGAAGGGGAGAACTCACTTGATACAGTGTTTGCTCGTAGGAATGAGGGCCTAGGCTTTGATCCCCAGAATCTACAGTTTTAAAAAAGCCAGGTGTTGGGGCAAGGGCTTATAACCCGGTGCTGGGGAAGTGGACACGGGGCCCTCAGTATCTCCAGATCACCGTCTTACTTGGCAACTTGCAGGCCAGTGAGAGACGCTATCTCACAGGAGATGCTGCCTGAGGACACCCATGACTGTCCTCTGATCTTTACATACGTGTACACTTGTAACTACACACTATGAGGACATGCATACACACGTACACAAGCTAAACCAGGCCAGCTCCAAGAATATTTACATGGAACAGCTCAAAACAGTAAAAAGACAGATGATACAAGCCAGGCATGACGGCACACGCTTTGAATTCCGGCACTTGGGAGGCAGAGGTAGGCAGATCTTTGTGAATTTGAAGCTAGCCTGGTCTACAAAGTGAGATTCAAACCATCAAAGGCTACATATAATGAGAGCCTGTCTAAATAGGAAAAAAAAAAAAAAAGAGGCAACGGAAAAGAAAATGAAAACGAAACCAAGTTTGACGTCAATAAACTTTTTTTTTTTAAGACAAGGTTTCTCTGTAGCTTTGGAGCCTGTCCTGGAACTAGCTCTTGTAGACCAGGCTGGCCTTCAACTCACAGAGATCCGCCTGCCTCTGCCTCCCGAGTGCTGGGATTAAAGGCTTGCGCCACTACTGCCCGGCATAATAAACATTATTTCTAAGCCCAAGTGCCAAGTGGGTAATTTCTGTTGTTAGCAATTTGAACTCATACACATCCTAAGCCACTGAAAACCACTGCAGGTCGCATGACCCGGCATCAGCACACCCTGAGAACCTCACCATCCGGGAATCCATTGAACACCAGACCCAGCCTCTGAAAGGATGAGAACTCCTTGGGCTGGTGACTCGTGCAAGCGCCTAGCCAGCACCCCGATCCCCACCCCAGCTATGGGGCCCTCGTCTTCCTGATCCCAAACCATCTCTGGGACCTCCACATCTGTCTTCCTCCAAATCACATGGCCTCTCCCCACCTCCCCGGAAGCAGGGCCCAACATACACACCTGGATCTGATCCCCTAGCCACTGGAACGCTACAAACCCCGGCTCTGTTCTGATGACAAAGAGGCCAAGCACAAACTGCAGCCCCAGGCCCCAGGCCACAGTCCGCCATGACACCTGTCAGTCAACAGAAAGGTCCCAGTGAGCTCAGAAGCTTGGGGAATCAGCAGGTCCAGGGCAGGGTGCAGGGTGGTGGCAGGGCCGCGGGGAGGACACCATGAGCTTTGTCCTGCCTGCAGTTGCTGTCAACGGTCACACGGGATTCAGACTAGGTCAGACTCTTGGCAGCGGGGAGACAGGGCAAGTACAGTAGTCTATAAACTGATGTGCAGTTTGCTTGGTCTCGAGCGTGACATAGTTCAGTTCTCAGACTTTGGCCTTAGGATATAGGCACGAGCCTGCCTAGACCCAGCTCCTCTTCAGCTCAGCGTATGATTTCTGTCTGCCTGGACCCCCATCATCTACCCTCCGTGGGATCTCAGCACCCTGACCTCAGGTCTCTTGATGGCCCATGCGACAGAAGAGAGGCAGGCCCTAGGGCTGCTTTCCCACTCAGCACAGAAAGACTCCTTGACAGCTCCCTCAGACACTTGTGCAGCCATGCTCTGAAGGGCACAGGGGTCCTGATTCTGGGGCGTGGCTGCTTCGCTGTGAAGACGATGAGAGAAGAGCCCACCCATCAGGAGAGCTGGGACCTTTGTGTACCAGTCACCTGGAAGGCCAGCCTTGCTGCGAAGTTTTTAGCTCAATAGTCAGGCGTCAAGTCTAAGATTTAATATTTCTAATGCATTCCAAGGAGATGATACTATGGCCCCTGGACTGTGAAGGAGACCTTCCCAGTAAGCTAATGATTTCAGAATACCCTTGGCTTCCCCCACAAGACTGGAAGCTTGGGTCCCCTTCTGGGGCAAGGTGATTCCTGAGCCCACAGACCTGAGGACCGTGTCGCTAAGGAGATAAATACCCCCAGTGGCCTGTGAGTTTGGAGAGAGATCAACAATCCTCCCCAGAGAGTTTTCTGTCCCCTGGGGGATTCAAGGACTTCTTAGATAACTTTTCACTTTGGGTCTCCAGTCAACAACTGCATGGGGAACGTGTCCCCAGCACACACTGTTCCTCCCCAGCTGAGCCTCAGGTGTTCTCCCAACGGGAGCATCCACTGGCTTCCAGCCTGAGTAGCCCGCTGAACACTTACAGCCCGGTGATGCTTAGAACCAGCAAAGAGAAGGACAAGGAACACGCAGATCCCCGCAAAGGACACCAGCTGTTCAGGCCTCTGGGCGGTGTCCAGAGACAGCCACAAGATCAGGCCCAGGCCTGCAGCAAGGGCAAGACCTCTGCAGGAGAGAGAGATAAAAAGCCATTAGCTTTAGCATCACACACACATGCACACACACGCACACACATTTGCACACATATATACAAACACACCCTTAGGGACCCAGGGAAAGAGAGAGCCTCCCTAGTACTCCTCACAATGCCCTGTGTGTTACTGGTTCTTTATTCTGACAGTTGGGAACAGACCCTCTTCCTGGTTCTTGGCAATTCCAGACCCAATTGCTCCCAGCTTTGGGGTGGTTCATTGGGATAGTTTCATCAGAGGCATTCACTAATCCAAACTCATCTGGCTATGCCAGAGAAATCTTGTAGCTGTCTGGAGTTTTCTCTCTGGGTAACTGCTGTATTTCCATTTAATGTGCCATCACTGTAGAAGGCACAGATAATAACCCTTGACCCAATCCAAGCTGCCCACATGGCGCTGCTTCTGCAGATACGCAGGATGCAAGAACTATAAGGCCTGCTTCTTCCAGTAGACTGCAAAGGATGCTGGGAGCAGTCTAGGGGGTGCAGGTATAGAGGACTATGGCAGAAATAAGACCACTCTGGAGGCCCCGAACAGTGGCTCTAGGAGCAACATAGAACCTTAGCCTGGGAAAGACATAGACATTCATGTACAGTTCCGACCCATGGGAACAGCCCCGTCGACTGAGCCCAGCAGAGCCACAGGGCTGAGCTGTCCAGCCACCCCAAGGTGCCCAGGAGACAGCACCCTGAGGAGTGAAAAGTGATTCTGGAGTCTGAAGATTTAAGGTCTTGAACTGGCAAGATGGTACATCAGATAAAATCGCTTGCCACACCAGCCTGACGACCTGAATTCAACCCCCCATGGTGGAAAGAGAGAACCAATCCCCAAAAGTTATCTTCTGACCTCCACACAAGCACATCCACGCATGACTATTCATGTGCATACGCACGCACGTGCACACACACACGTGCACCCACAATACTAAATACAACAAGATTTATTACTAGTGTGTGTGTGTGTGTTTGTGTGTGTGTACACATGTGGACGCCAAAGGACAACTTTTGGGAGTTCTCTCCTTTCCACCACAGGCTCCAGGGACCAAACACCAAAATATAATTCAGGGACACGGCTAATTATATCAGAGTGCCCTGAGGGCTAAACTGTTGGCACCTGGCCCAAGCTACTAGCCTTTTGAACTGGGCTCTGGGCGTGTTCCCAGGCATCTGTGGTCTCTGCAGCTAGCCCCAGGTGATCCACCTAACGAAACTTCATGGAAAGGCCTCCCTGCTTAGTGGCCAGGCTCTTGAATATGGAAACCTCTCTCACCAGCCTGGCTTTAGCCCTCAGCTACCTGTTGTATCACAAAAACTGGCAAAATACCAGAGCTGGCCAATGCTTTTGAGGCCACCCAGCACCTCTGCCCAGGGCTCCAGGAGACAAGCAGAATGGGACACATTCCTCCAGGAGGCCGGAGGCTGAGGGGTCACTCACCTTTTCAGCCAGAGGTTCAGGCGAGAATGGCCTTGAAACTTCACACACCTCCTCAGCCTGGGCCCCAGAAGCCTCTTCAGCAGATCATAGGCCAGGAAGACGAGGACCACACAGGTGATGACCAACAGCGCCAGGGCCCTCTGGAAGTTCCGGAGGCAGGCGAAGATCAAGAAGGCACCGTATGCTGCAGGAGTCGTCGGCAGGATCAGCAGGGCGAGACCACTGCTCTAAACCCTGGCTCTGCCTCGCCCGCCGGAGCATTAGGGGCGGGAAAGGAACTCAGTTCAGCCTTGCGTTCCATATCTAGAAGCGAAAACGCCTGCCCCTACTGTGTCAAAAGGTTATTAGGGGACTGGGGGAACAGCTCAGTGGTGGAGGCTTGCCCAGCCTGCCCAAGGCCCTGGCAAATAGATGAAAAAGGCCCTTGCACGCTGTTAGAAAGTGGCGGCAGAAACAGCACAATGGCGTCAACAGAGCTCCTGGCTTGAGCCATGTTAGGTCTGCAGAGGACCAGGCTGGATGACTCAGTGTCTCCTTGACTGCAGATTATCCCTCCACCCAATACTGTTGATCAGTGATCTCCCTCTCTCCTTCCCTCCCTCCGAGGGTGCGTGCGTGCGTGCCTGTGGTGTGTGTGTGTGGTTTAGGCCACACTCATCTGTAACAGCCTCCTCTCTGCCCTCACTGGGGCTGTGAAAGAGATGGCAGGCACCCTACTAGGTCTGTAATCCTCCTTTCTAGGAGTTCAGCAAGCTCGGGTTACCGGGCTCTGGGAACCTGATAAGCCCCCTGCTGTGACCCTGAATAGAGTAAGGAGGATAGCTTCCGCCTTCTCCAGCTGCCCAGGCAACCCGACTACAGACACGTTTCATTGACTACTCATTAACTACGGCTCGTGACTGTCCTCCTCTCTCTGAAACCCTTACGACAGCGGTTCTCAAGCCGTGGGTCATCAACACCCCGCACATCAGATGTTTACATTACGATTCAGAACGGCAGCAAGATGACAGTTACAAAGTAGCAACAAAACGATGTTATGGTTGGGGGTCGCCACAACATGAGGAACCAGACAGAAGGCAGCATTAGGAAGCCTGAGAACCACTGCTCTGTCTCCTGGGCCTGAACTCATCCAGTCCCTGACACGCCGCCTGCTCCACCGGCTCCCGGTATTGAGAACTCCACTGAAACAGAGCCCCAGACCTTAGCACAGCCGACTTCATGAAGAAATGACACTACGATGTCAGGCCATAAAACTCAGCGAGTAGACAGTACCACCTGCCAAAATGGAAACAAAGACCCAATCCATCAAAGTTCTGGGAAAGTCTCAAAATGCACTAGCCTTGCTTTTTGGCTTCTGTGGTTCCACTTCTGGCTAACTGTTCTTGCTAACTGAGTACGTCAACCAGGGCACGGTTTTTGTGCTCACTCTGAGAAAGGCTCAGTGCTACACTGGGATCCCGAACACCCAGAGTAGTTGCTGTCCGGCCAATAAAGACTTTCTGTTGGCGTGAACCCGTGTCCGAGCACACGGGTTCTCTTCTCTGGTGGACACCATACCCCATATCACTCGCTACTAATACATCTCCTATGATGGGGTTCTTCGCACGGATGTTGGGGACCTGTGCTTATGTGTCAAGAACTTTACTGATGGAGACATCTCCCAGCCTCACCCACGACACTGTGCTCCTGGAGTCCCCTCTTCCTCAGCCTGGCTCTCCTGTGGGCCGCTGAGCCAGTCTGAGCGTTTACCTCAGAAAAGGAACCTGGCGACGGCAGAAAGGGAATGCTTCTCCCTGGTTTTTGAGTTTCAAGATCCAGGGCTCTTGAAGAGTAGAAAGGACTTCGCCACTGATATAAATGTGAGGTGAATCAGTTCAAATATGAGTCTCACCTCATCTACCACACAGCAAGTGTTCTGGGCTGGGGGAAGATGGAGGTGTGGACCTCACAAACTGGCCCAAGCCCAGGGTTTTGTGGCAATGGCAAGGGAGGGACCCCAGGCCTCGCTTCCTGAGTGGAGTCCCACAGGGCACAGGCCTTCCACGAGGAACGCTGGGTGTGGCGTGTAGGTAGGCAGAACCTGTGAGTACTGCACACTGCAGCAAACAGAGGGGCTCTGGAAAAGACCCCCGTGAAAATGGGGGGAGGTGGGAGCCCAGGGCAGGTGCACACTGGGGGGAGGGGACACCAGAGTCACCTGCCCGGAGAGAGCTAGGACAGCCACAGAAGGAGATGGGCGAATGGCAGTGATGAGGACCTGCTGGTGAATGGGTTCTGAGGGAACAGTCCAGAGTCACCAGATCACTCTGGTCACTCAAGGGTTAACAGAATTGAAGTTTATGTCAAGAAAATGTACAAATGAAGCTTCCTTCCTCTCCCCCAGGAAGCTCACACAGTGCAGGGTTCTCCTCACCCCTTCCAGCTGCAAGGCCTGCCTCCCTCTCTCCCTTCTAGAAGCAAGACAACCTTGAATTATAACCCAAACAACAAGCCCAGGACCTCATAGCCCAGGAGGGCAAACAATTCACCAAGTAGCCAAAGATGACCTTGAATTCTGACCTGGCTTCCTCCACCTCTGGAGGGCTGAGAGACCAGGACGCGCCAATTCCCAGCTTTGCGCAGTGCTGGGACTGAACACAGGCTTCTGCTCACACTGGTGAGATTCCCTACCAAGTGAGCTGCAACCCCAGACCACTTCAAAAGAAAACTGGAGGGGCTGGAGAGATGGCTCAGTGGTTAGGAGCGTTGCCTGCTCTTCCAAAGGTCCTGAGTTCAATTCCCAGCATCCACATGGTGGCTCACAACCATCTGTAAAGAAGTCTGGCGCCCTCTTCTGGCCTTCAGGCATACATACAGAATATTGTATACATAATAAATAAATAAATAAATAAATAAATAAATATTACTTTATGTGTGTGTGCCTGCGGCGACCAAGTTAATCCTCCAGAGCTGGCCTTCCAGGCAGTTGTCAAGGTGCTTAGGTACAGGGAACTGAACTCAAGTCCTCTGAAAGATCAGGAAGTGCTCTGAACTTCTGAGTCATTTCTTCAACTCCTTGCATTACATCTTGTTTGCTCTTGTGTCTTTTGAATATTACGATGTAGTGCTGGCTGGCCTGGAACTCACTGTGGACTAGGCTGGCCTCAGACCCACAGAATTCTGCCTGCCTTTGCCTCAGCTGTGCTGAAATGAAAGACCTGAGACTCCCCCCCCCCCATGTCCATTTTGCCTTATATATTAAACATTTAAGACCTACTCTATGGGATTTTAGTTCCTTGACTCGGTTGAAGGTGTGCTTGCCTAGTACACAAAGCCCTGCCGTTTATCCTTGCACTGTCTAAGCGATACAAAGTGGTGCAAGCCTGTTAATCCCGACACTGGCGAGGTAGAGGCAAGAGGATCGGATTCAGGGTCATCCGGGGCTACATAGCTTGGTATTTCCCACCCTTCCCCTTCCATTTTACTAAGTCTTACGTAGCTCAGCCTAGGCTTGGATTCCTATCTGCCCAGTGCTAGGATTACAGGCTTCATTGCATCTAGCAAGATTGACGTTAGGACTAAGGTTTTTTTANGAAGAAGAAGAAGAAGAAGAAGAAGAAGAAGAAGAAGAAGAAGAAGAAGAAGAAGAAGAAGAAGAAGAAGAAGAAGAAGAAGAAGAAGAAGAAGAGACAACGATGATGACGTGTCCGGCTGTCTTCAATCTTTGGTCACACCCTGACCTCTAGTACTTCCTTCTTTCTCTCAGCAGGGAATGCTGTCTCAGCCTAGAATTTCAGCTATCAGGAGTCTAAGGCAGGAGGATTGCTGTGAGTTCAAGGTTAGCCTGTGCTATGGGGTGAACTTGAGGCTAGCCTAAGCAACGAAGTGAGACTCTATCTTAAAAAACAAACAGACAAAAATATTTCTCCCAAGAGCCGGTTGTCTGTACTTCCTGTCTTCCTCGCCTGATCTCTGGTCCATTCCTATTCTTCACTGCAGGGTTTCACTGTGTAGCTTGGCTGACTTAGAACTCACTCCATAGGCCAGACTGGCCTTGAACTCACAGAGAGCTGCCTGCCTCTGCTTTCTGAGGGTTAGAATTAGAGGTACACGCCACAACCCTAAAGCCACCTTTCCATCACTGTCCCTAAATCAATGGACACTGCTCAGCCCTTATGGCTGACCCTCTGTAGACATTACCATTGGTTTTTCCTCTCTTTGAAGCCCCTGGCTTCTGCAAGTACTTTCTATGTAGCTGGTCCCAGACTTTCTGTCCCTAACTCGTTTCTCAAATCGTTCTGCAAAGATCCTCTGGAAATGACTTCACCTGCCCATGGCTTAGGAGTGCTACCCTCGCAAACGGGTCCGTTCTCTCCCTCCCCATACAGATCACCCCCATCCCCCTGTGCTCTGTGGAAGGAACCCCTGTGTCCGTCGTGTTGTGTGTGTGTATATGTGTGTTTGTATATGTGTGTGTGTTTGTGTGTGTGTGTGTCTGTTATCCAAGCAGGAAACTAAGGCAGCCTTAACCTGATACCACCACCACCCTGCACACACGGTCACGTCCCAGGTTCAGCAAGCACCAATCACCGTCTGGATTCTCAAATCATCCCCATCTGCCTTTCCTTCATCCTCACACACACTCAAGCCTCACTGTCCTCTGTCTCTCCTGTAGCCATTTCCGTCTCCCCGGGTGAGATCCATCTGCATACTTATCAGTTTAAATCCTTCTGTGCCTGTCTCTGGACCTCAGAATCAAATTCAAGTTCCTGAATAGATCAACTCCCTTCCTCGCTCCTAATCACTGCATCCTTCAGAGTCCTCCAGCCACGGGAGACCCAGGCTGGACACCCTGCAGAAACTTTACCCTCTGGCCACACTTTAGACTATCAAAGCCCACACCCTGCTGCTGTTCGCCTTTGCTCCCTGACCTTTGCTCTTTGAGGGGTGGGGTATGGGAGGGTCTCAGCCCTTGTTACCCTCCCCTCTACCTAGCTGTTCCAAGACCATAGCCCTGAAGGCTACCATCCTCCCAGGTGGCTTGTTGCCCTGTATGAGCAATGGTCCTCCCCATTGCTCTTGGGGAAGGACTTGGGACTAGGATCTAGTTGGGCTTGACGGAGACCTGAGCTCCTATCTTGAGCTGGCCAAGCTGATGCTCCACAAGCCTTATTGGTTGATGGGGTGAGTGAATGAGCCCACTTTGTGACGTTGAGACTAGAGGGGCAGTGACTGTCCCCTCAATGAGGCAGAGTGGGTCCCCACCCACCGGTACAGAGCAGGCCTGTGAGGATCCATCCAAACAGCTGCTTGTGCTCCCTGAAGAAGCTTCTCGCTCGCACGGTCAGCTGCAGACTCCTCCTGAGGAGAGGACCGCTAGTGTTCATAAGTGGCCCCCAATTTCCGCCCCACCAGAGAGCCCCCAAACCCACAGGTAGAAGCTACTCCGGTGTGTGCCCAGTGCAATCATGGGATAAGCCCAGGCTGGCCTTGCTACCCAACCAGGCTGAAAAGCCACCACAGTCTAAAGACACAAGCCATGGTTCTGCACATATGGAGACTTGGGGCCACTCAAGGCCACCCCTGCTCTTGGGTGATGGAGGGAACCAACCCATAGGCAGAGGTTTTGGAGCACTCAGAAAAGCACAGCCATGACTGCCCAACCTCCTCTCTGCTTCCCCCTGCTCAGTAAGAGAGACGGAGAGGTTCTCAGCTCTGTATCGGTTCCCCTGGGACAGGGACATTTATTGTCTGGGTCCTCAGTGCCTATTCCAGATACAGGACATGGAAAAACATACAGTCAGCCGCCCTCACTGCCTTGGGCATCCAGAATGGACACTAGTCCTCTGGTCAATTGGTCACTTGTCTGTCCCTGGAGGAACAGCTGCTACCCAAATCTCCTCTAGGGCCCTCTAGGTTAGCCAAGCACCTCGTTGCTCATAAAATTCAACCCTCTGCTGCTGTTGCAAGAGTTCCCCACCTGGGGGGGGGGCACAAGGTATCTTCTCCAGTCCCCCCCAAGAAACAAGAGGATCCCACCCCTTCACTGCCACACCCTGTCTTGGGCTGTCCTTCCTGCTCTGTTCAGAGCCGAATTTGGCCACCCAGGACCCTCTAGGCTCAAACCAGACCCTGTGGGTTGGTCCCTTCTGCTCTGGGCAAAGCAGGAAGTCTAGCCCAGGCCAGAAGTACTACAGATTAAGTCTTGGAGTCCCCAAAATGGCTCCGCAACTGAATAGAGTAAAGCAGAAGGAGGTGGCAGAGAGGCCTGAGAAGCCCCACACATGCATTGGGCTTCCTCCTGGCACGACGTCCTGGCTGCTTCCAGACAGGCAGCTGGGCACCCAGCCCTGCCTGGTCCCTGAGGCAGAGGCCTGCAAACCTCACTTCCCCTTGACCTCCCTTGGATGGACTTGGATTCTCTTTTCCTGGTGACCTGAGTCTCTTGCTAAGATCACCTACCATCTGGAGCCGGGCTCTGATGCGACTTGGTTCTTGTTGCCCCCATCCTCCACAGGGCTTGAGTTACTGGGGAGCTGGCCTTCCTCCTAAAACCAACAAGGTACAGTCAGGGCCAGTCTTCCCACCAGGAGAGAGCTACACTTGAAGGGCATGGAGATAGAAAAGACTTGCCCGTCTCCTGCCCTGTGCATGCACAGGGCACCCTCACAGGCGGACACAGGTAGAGACTGGACTTCTCCATGGGAAATGGGGGCTACTTAATTACTCTGTAGGCATGAATTGAGCATCTACTATGTACAGACACACCGTGGCTTCCTGGAGGCCAGAAAGAAATACCTAAGGAAAGTCCCAGGCAGCTCCACCCACCACATCACTCCAGGGCACCTCTTGTCTAGGTTGTCATTTGTGGGAGTGGGAAGCCATTTAGTAAAGGAGAGGGAGCCTGGTTAGGAAGGGAGGGGCAATGGAGGGTATTGTAATAGGCTTCACAGTTGGAGCTGTGGTCCTCAGCTTGGCCTTTGGAGAACCAAGGCAAGACTGCCTTGTTTGTAAGCTGGGGCTCCCTCAGACACCCCCTTCTATCATTGGCCCCTCTCTTCTTGTAGATCAGATGTTCTCCCCTCCTGGGACCTTTGCTGACCTTTCGGGTCAGGACAGACAGGGCAGCACACAGTGGGTACTCAGGACACAGTGGAGAAGTGAAATCAAGGATGCGGTCTGTGCCGGGAGGGGGTGAGGTGAGCAGGGCAGAGGAAAGGAAGCAGGCAGACCAAGGCCCTCCCACCCATCAGTGGCAGTCAAGCCGAGGAGGCACTATGGGGAGAGGGGACAGACCATCCTTTCCAAGAACTCAGCCCCCATGTTCTCCAGGCCGTGCATCACAGGTGTGAGAGAGAAGGACTCTCTCTGCTTCGGTGTGTCGTCTGCCATGAGACAGCCTCTTCAGCTGAAACACAAAGAAGTCGGGAAGGTTCCAAAGCTGAAGGGAGGGCCCAATGAGACAAGAAGAACCAGAGAGAGGGAGAGAACCCCTTCCTGCCCTCACGCCTGATCCTCTGAGAGGCAACTCCTTGCAAGTTCCGGGTATTCTTGGAGAAATGGTAAACTGTCCCAGGAAGGAAAAGAAGGAATGGTTTCTGGACCTGGTACGGGCACTGTCCCAAAAAGAGGCCCTAATGGCCATCGCTTCCTGCAACAGGTGAAAACCATCGCCAGTGAATGAAGTGTTCATTTCATCCATCCTGAACACATGGTTCCAGCCCCTGGATGCAAACATAGCTGAATCCAGTCCTACCCCTGGGCTTCCCCATTCCAAGCCCAACATTCACCTTTTTGGTGACACTGCTTTTCGATTTTAGCTCATCTGAAAATAAGAGCCCCCTGAATCTGCTTTTCCCCATTGCAGTTCCCTCTCTTCTTTGAGCCTTAAGGGTCTCCTACTCTGTCCAAACACCTGATAGTTAAGTGGATCTCTCCAGACACATTCTCCCGCAAGGGGGGGGGGCAGCTTTGTCTGAAGAGCTGGGGATGCCTGCTACCTGGGCTCGCCCAGGCAGGCGCACAGCTGCGGAGAGAGGGAGAGGAGCCTGGGCTACTCACGGGTTTGTTGTGAGCAAGCAGTGTCGGGAAGGCTGGCTGAAGGACAGGCGGCTGTGGGGAGGGCTGGGGCCAACCTGCCTGGGCTTTGACCTGTTCCTGGGCAGAGTTCAAAGCTGCAGTAGGTTGGACCTCCCCAGAGCCCAGGGCCACAGCCGAGGCGGGGACTCCAGCTCCGTTTCGGGGTGGGGAAAGGAGATGGGGAACCAGGCCCACTCAAGGCCAGGCCCTCTGTCTGTTGTCCTTTCCCACACTGACCTCTCCTCGGCCTTGCTTCTGGCTGCCTCCTCCAGGAAGCCACCTTGGTTGTTCCCGTTCTCCCCTGCTCCTCTGCCAGCCATTCTGGTGATTTGTTTACACGCTGTCTCTCACTCAGCTTCCTCTTCTCAAGGATCAGCAACTCATCTTCCGAAACTGGGAAACACAGGGAGCAGTGTCTGTCACAAATGGTCTAAGCATCGTACAGTCATGAAAGCAAACCAGAATCCCACCATTTCCTTCCTTCTTTCCCTCCCTCTCTCCCTCCCTCCCTCCCTCCCTCCCTTCCTTCCTTCCTTCCTTCCCTCCCATCCAAGCAACACAAGCCAAGTTGAGAAACAACACTTCCATCTTTAGTCCTGAAACTAAACATTAAACCTACGCGACGGGATTAATAACATCTGTTTAATAATTAATGCCCTGTATCACATACACATACACAAAAGATACTCCTCACACAGAGGCACCCACTGGCTGTTTCAGACATCTGGAAAAGGAGAGATGAAGAGGAGTGGAGTACCCACTGCTCTTGGGAAACTTCCTTTTCTATTGGGGTTGGAGAAATGGGTCTCATCTAGTCCAGGCTGACTTTGAACCTGCTGTGTAGCTGAGGATGGCCTTAAATGTCCAATCTATCTGCCTCCACATCAGTATTGGAATTACAGGTGTGCATTCTACACCTGACCTTTAACCAGCAATCACTACGTGCAGAATAAAACGGGGAGGTTAAGAATACAGAGAGCAGAAATTCCCTTATTTCCCCTAACTGTATGCTATTTTATATTATTCATTTTCCAGTAGGAAATCTTACTACCCCAGGGTCTTCAAAGCTTGCTCGTCTGACAGAGATCCAATTCTCACATTCTGGGCCCTGGACCCCCTTGGTCATAAAATAAATGTTTACCTTGAACAAGACCAGGATGGGACCAGAACCCATACTCAGCCTCGATGAAGGGAAAGGATTTTATCCATTTTGATGCCTCTGTCCTTTTCAGTGGCTCCTTTCATGCCCCCAACCCATTTCCTCTGCCTTTTCTTCCTCTCGGTGTCCAGAAGCAGGCCCGAGGTGCCTACCTCCAGCAGTGCGTTGGCCCTTTCTGCCCTACGTTGGAGCCTCAGGGCTCTCTGGCCTCCAACAAGAATTTAATGTGCTGCACGCCACAAGATGAACCTTGAGCTTGGAGCCCAGAGATCTAGATTCACCCTGAACTCTGAAATTAACATATCCCCTCATCTGTGAACTGCTGAGGGTGGGAACTAACTTTGAGGATTAAACCAAGTGCTTGGCAGGGAGCCCGGCCCTGGCAAGCTGGCAGCTGTCTTTGCTGTCCCTGGCCCATCCTGGACATCTTGGCACCCTGCTCCCTTCCTACATCCCAGGATGCCTCAAGTCATTCCCAGGCTGATCCCCTCAGCGTTAGAGTGGCCAGCAGGGATCACACCCAGGAAGTCAAATGTCTTTGAGGCACAGAGTCGGGGGGGGGGGCAGTTGGAAATATTGTGGAATATTATTTTAAGACATGTTATATTTGTTTATGCTGTAGAATGTTTGTTTTGATGATTCAAAGATGTGTTACATTTTTTTTTATGTTGCATTCGTTTAAATCTGTGAGGCTGTGATTCTTTGCCTAAAACACCTGGTTGGTCTAATAGAGAGCTGAATGGCCAATAGCAAGCAGGAGAAAGGATAGGTGGGGCTGGCAGGCAGAGAGAATAAATAAGAGAAGAAATGAGGAAGGGGGGGAGAAAGAACAAGAGAATAAGGATGGGGGGAACTAGGGGCCAACCACTCTGCCAGCCATGGAGTAAGAGTAGAAAGTAAGATATACAGAAGGAAGAAAAGGGGAAAAAGCCCAGAGGCAAAAGGTAGATGAGATAATTTAAGTTCAGAAAAAAAAGGAAGGAAGGAAGGAAGGAAGGAAGGAAGGAAGGAAGGAAGGAAGGAAGAAAGAAAGAAAGAAAGAAAGAAAGAAAGAAAGAAAGAAAGAAAGAAAAAAGTCGGCAAGAAACAAGCCAAGCTAAGGCCAGGCATTTATAATGAAGAATAAGCCTCTGTAATCAATAAGTCAGAAACAAAAAACAGTAACACAAAGAATCAGTGAAACAGAGGGTTGGTTCTTTGAGAAAATCAGTAAGACTGATACACCTAGTTGAGGTGTAGGTAAGCCTTTAGAACATATTTTTAACTAGTGATTGATGGGAGAGGACCCGCCCACTGAAGGTGGTGCCATCCCTGGGCTGGTGGTCCTGCACCCTGTAATAATGCAGGCTGAGCAAAACATGAAGAACGAGCCGGTAAGAAGCAACCGTCATGGCCTCTGCCTCAGCTCCTGCCTCTAAGTTCTTACCCTGTTTGAGTTCCTGTCCTGACTTCTTTGGATGATGAACAGTGTGATATGGAAGTGTAAGCCAAATACCCGCCCCCCAAAAGAATAAGCCTCCTTGTGTCATGATTTGGGAACTGGGTGGCAGGCCCCCCCAAAGAGTAAAAATGCAAAGAGCCAACAGAGCAGAGAATGAAAGCAACTGACAACCAGGGAGGTCACAGAGCTCTGTCTGCACTGTCTCAGAGAATCCAGTCACAAAGACTGTGAAGTAGGCTCTGCCTGTCTTCTTTCCAGCTGTCCTCCACAGAGGTGTGGCGGGGAGCCAGTACCATAAGGGGGAGAAACAACCTGAGGTGAACTGACCGTGCAGCTGCACCCCATGTTGGGATTTAGGAATCTGTGTTTGCTCTTGAGGAATCTGTGGTGATTTGAAAGAAAATGGCCCCCAAAGAGTGTGGTAGAATAGTAAAGATGTGTTACATTTGTTTGTGCTGTGGAACATTTGTTTTAATGAGATGCAAAGATGTGCTGTATTCTTTTATCTTGCATTTGTTTGACTCTGTGAAGCTGTGTCACTTTGCCTGTTTAAAACGTATGATTGGTCTAATAAAGAGCTGAATGGCCAATAGCTGGGCAGGAGAGGGATAGGTGGGGCTGGCAGGGAGAGAGAATAAATAGAAGGAGGAAAAGAGGGATAAGAAAGCAAGAGGGATCAAGGAGTGAGAAAAGAAGGGACCAGCCGCCCAGCCAGCCACAGAGTAAGAGTGGAAGTAAGAGATACAGAAGTAAGAAAAGGAAAAAACCCAGAGGCCAAAGGTAGATGGGTTAATGTAAGTTAAGAAAAGCTGGCTAGAAATAAGCCAAACTAAGACCAGGCATTCAAAAGAATGAATAAATCTTCATGTGTTTATTTGGGAGCTGGGTGGCAGGTCCCCCAAAAGAGTAAAGAGCCAAAAAAGTGAAGAAAAAAACTACAAAAGAAAAAGGCACTATTAGGAGGTGCAGCTTTGTTGGAGTGGGTGTGACCTTGTTGGAGGAAGTGTGTCACTATGGGGGCGGGCTTTGCTGTGTCACAAATGCTCAAACCATGCCCAATGAGGCAGTCCACTGCCAGTTGCCTGCAAGATTAGGACCCTCAGCTACTTTTCTTTTTCTTTTTTAAAGATTTATTTATTTATTATGCATACAATGTGCTGCCGGCATGTATGCCCACACACCAGAAGAGGGACCAGATCTCATTACAGATGGCTGTGAGCCATTACAGATGGTTGCTGGGAATTGAACTCAGCTCCTCTGGAAGAGCAGGCAGAGCTCTTAACCTCTGAGCCATCTGGATCTCCAGCCCCCCTCAGCTACATTTCCAGCACCATCTCTGCCTTCATGCTGACATGTTGGACCATGATGATAATGGACTGAACCTCTGACCTGTAAGCGAACCATCCCAATTGAATGTTTTCCTTTATAAGCGTTGCCATGGTCACGGTGTCTTTCACAGCAATAGAAACCCTAAAACGGTATCTAAGCATTGTTTCCATTTTGTCCACTGCTCGGTGGCCAGAATGGATTCTGGCCCAAACTTGAACTCCTCCATTGTGAAATACATACAGTCTCTGCTCATGATCTGTACCGCGAAGGACATTGTGTCCCTGGATGACTTTCCAAGTGAGCCCCAGTGTGAATTCTGTGAGGGATGACTGTACCAGGCAGCCAGCCCAACACCCTGAGTAAGAGCCCAACTACTCCAAGAACACGGTCTGCCTGGATGACCCCCGTGACCCTCGGGTCCCCGAGAGAACAGTGCAGAGCAGTGGCTGCCAGGTCTAAGGCCTGTACAGCTGGAGCCTGCTTCTGCTCAGCTGCACAGGGGAAATGAGGAGCATGTCCTGCAGCCTGCCAAATCCTCTGTGGGCCGTGGGCCAGCAGGAGAGGAGGCCCTGATGTTGCCTCCCAGGTAACTTTGTTTCCTGTTGGTTCAGAGGAGAGCAGCTGTGAGCGGCCACCTACCCCACCACAGCCCATGGAGGGTAGGTTCCACAAAAGAGGTCTTGGGTTGTACAGCAGCAGCCTAGATAAGTGGCAACCAATTGTTTGACCGTTCTGGCTCCCCAGGAGCAGGAAGCTGGGAGAGATCTGTTCCCCACCGATAGCCTACCTGCCTCAGCAATCCCAGGGAGGACCTGAGTTGGTCTGTTCCAGTCAGAATCTTTATCAGAAATGAGAAACTGAAGAGGTTTAGCATGCAACCAGGGCGTTTAATTTGGCCAGAATTGTCAGCTTCTTGAATTAATGGGGACATATTCCATTATGGGTCTGGGTGTGTTACATTGTTATTGTAGTTCTTGTTATTTACTGGGGGTTTTTAATAAAGGGTTCCTCTGAAGCCCTGACTGTCCTGGAATTCACTTTGTAGACCAGGATGACCTAGAATTCAGAGATCTGCTTGCCTCTGCCTCCTGAGTGCTGGGAGGCAGAGGTAGGCGGATCTCTGTAGGTTCGAGGCCAACCTGGTCTACAAGAGCTAGTTCCAGGGCTGTTACACACAGAAGAAAGAAAGAAAGAAAGAAAGAAAGAAAGAGAGAGAGAGAGAGAGAGAGAGAGAGAGAGAGAGAGAGAGAGAGAGAGAGAGAGAGAGAAGAAGGAAGGAAGGAAGGAAGGAAGGAAGGAAGGAAGGAAGGAAGGAAGGAAAGAAGGAAGGAAGGAAGACTACCCTAAACTCTATTGGCCCCAGGACCTTTAGTACCAGTAAGAAGCACCTCCTGTCCAGAGATGGTGGCAACCACAAAGCCACAGAAGGTGACTCAGCAGTCTCCA